TGTTTTCATTTTGTCATGGTGGTTGACATGTTTGTATTGCTGGAACTGTTTTCTAGAATTCAAACTCAACAATAAATGTGTGTATTTTTAAGAACCTGTTTCTTCTTGCATTTGTTAAAACATGCAAAAACAAAAGCTCAGCTCTCGTTTTAAGTTTCTTAAAATAAATTCTGTAGATATTTTCAGTAAATGATGGTAAAGTTAATCTTGTATGCAATTTTTTTAGGATTGTACCGACAATATATACTTATTCCCAAATTTGTTGCTGCTGTTACTACTAAAGTCCTGTCGGAAGTGCCAGAGTGTTTCCAGGTTGAAAGGATTACACAGTGATATCACTGTTGCCTGGAGGATGCCCAGTCGGGGGTTCCTTTTACACTCCCATTAAGTTACCCACCAAAATGGTACCCATTTATCCACATCGAGTTGCCTGCTTTTGAATTGCTGGATCAGCAGAAGCTGGAGCATGTGAGGGAGCTTATTCCACCCCATGGTAGCAGCCTGGTCTTGAACGTGAGCCTGCCTATTATCAGCCCAGCATCCTATGCTCATGAGCCACTGTACTCATCCCAAATTGACTGCATCAGTGTTACTTCTTTTTACATAGTAGTGAAATGATAGTCCAGTGCTAGATATTTTAAGACAGTCTAAAAAATTATTTGGGGACAAAAATATTTGAAAAAACAATCTTAATTAGTAAATGATAGAACATTTTAGATCCACTTTGGATTGATAAAAGTTAGTGTGTCTACTTTAGAAACATTTTAGCTTATCATTGAAATCTATCCTGCCAGGTCTCTGTAATGGTAAAAGGATATGACCCTTGGAGAATGAAGAGTTGCAGTCAGGGAATAGTCAGGTAAAAGACAATTGAGACTGTAGTACTGTGAGCAGGGCAAGCTCAGAAGAGAGCCTTCCTAGTTTCTTGGGCTGTAAAGGAAGACTGGGAAAGATGTTCAGATTTGCAAGTTTATGTTAATTTAAGTATACAATAAAATAGAATTTGCTCATCTGATATATCTTGAGTGGCTGACCGTTTCATTATTTAAATAGGCTTAAGTTATATGAGAGCGAGCCCATTCAGTTAAATATATTAATTTCAATGGAGAAAAAAAATCAACACTTTTAGTAATAAAACAGCATGGTTAGATAATCTAAAAGTAGAAACTTGTTATTAATAAAGTAACCTAGTGCATGTAAAGTGCAAATTTAGTGATATCCTAAGTACCTCTATGAGCCCTTGAATTAGGTAGGACTGTTGGGTCCACCTTTTGGTCTCCAGAATGGTACCTTATGGTACCCCAACCTTATGGTTAAGTACAAGTACTCCTCACTTACTGATTGCAATTAGGATTGGCAACTCTGTTGCTAAGCAACATGGTCATAAAGTGAATTGCCACTGAACCATAGTAGCTCTGGCTGCGATTGTTAAGTGCAGTATTTCATAGACTTGCAAATTCCTCTTGGAAATTACATTTACAGTTTCTTCAGAGTATTTATGGGACATAAGCATTCAGGCATAGTAGTGTCTAGGGTCAAGTTTTACTCTGTTTTTTTTTTTTGAGTCTATGACAGTACTGTATATTTTAATACATTTTAAAAATGTGCTGTACTTTAAATAATATAAAAAATTTTCCCCCAAGGTGCAAAGATCTTTGAATGTTTCCTTCTATTTTCCTCTATCATGTTCAATGTTAGAGACTCTTATCTTGTTCTTGTAAGAGAACAAAAGAGCACAGATGGGAGAAACACGAGAGAAAAGGCTGCGAGGGGATACCTTTTCCTACATTCCTACATTGCCTGGGGAAGGACCTGCACCTCAAGCATGTAAATGGGAGAATCACAGAAATAAAATACACAATAGATTTAATATTCCTTTATTGGTTTTTCTCACAATTACTTTTGCGCCTCAATAAAAATCTATATTTTGTTTGCAGAATGTTTATTCCTGAGCTCTGTTAAATTGTATCATACAAAACATAGACAAAGTAAACTTATCAAAACAATTCAGTTAAGCAATGTTTATGGGTTTAAGGTTGTTGCAACCTTAACACTGCAAAGGACAGTGAGCAAGTTGTAGCTAAATATAGAGGTAGAAAGCTAGTCACAGCTTTGTTTTATACAAAATGTTATATAATACCTTTACCAGTGCTATAGCTATTAACAGCCTTTTTTTTTCCTGAATTCAAAGACCATTGGAAGTACCGTTTGTTTCAACTGCAAGATTAATATGGAAATAAAATTCAGTTTTCCTCACTTGCATATATGTTAATAGGTATATATAATGCTTGCATTTTGTTCCTTAAATAATCATTTCTAACATTTATTTGCCCATAGTAGTAGTATGTAGATAAAAAGTTTTCATGAAATTTGCTATAGCATCAAGACACTTGGGTATAGGTGCCCATGCTCACCAAAATCTAATTATTAATAGATAAACCTGTTGTATGAATGGAAGATTAAATAGTGGAAACATCCATTATAGCTGTACTGTTTTTCATCAACGGATATGCTTTTGTTTATATAAAAGAAAACCACTTAATTATGAGACAACCTCACAGGATTCTAGAATGTTTCTCAACTCTGATTTAGTCCTCGGCTGTTTCAATTTACCGGATATATTAGTGGAATCATTAAACAATGATCTACGGGATATATTGATCATGTGAGTTCAAGTATTATATACATTTTTTTTCAAAAATTGTATGGCCCGTTACCCAATATATCATAAAGTTCAAGAATAATTTAAGTAGTCAAATTGATAGAATTACTGATACTGAGTTTATGTCTTGCATTCAAATTAGCATTGGGCAGAATACTAATACACAAAGCAATTTGGTGAGCATATACAGGTATTGCTTGACTTACAAGAGTTTGTTTAGTGACCACTTTTCAGTGGCATTGAAAAAAGTGACTTATGACCATTTTGATCATGATCACATGATCAAAATTCAGCTGCTTGGCAACTGACTCATATTTATGATGGCTGCATCAACCTAGGGTCATGTGATCACCTTTTGCAACCTTCTTAATGGAGAAGCCAGATTCATTCTAACAACCGTGTCGTGTTCCTAACTTAACTGCAGTGATTCACTTTATGACTGTTGCAAGAAAGGCCGTAAAATAGGGCAAAACTGACTTAACTGTCTTGCTTAGCAACAGAAACTCGGGGCTCAAAAATGTTGAGGACTACCTGGACTTTGACTTGCTTTTGCGTTACGTTTTTTAGAATCATTCTTTCAATTGGTATAATTTAGTTCACAAAAGTTAAAAATCATTCTGATGTGTATTTACAAGAATAAACCTCACTTTTGGCCTACAACAAATGTGGGAAAGAACTTTAGGAATACCAATTCACCTGAACTGAAGAATTATTTAAAAAGGCAACATTTCATACCATCCAATAATGTTACTTGGTGTCTGCCCTTGAAAACATGTGCATGTATACAACAAACATACACATAAAACATACATACACAGAAATCAAATATCCATCCTGAAATCAAATATCCATTTCTATTCTGCTGCTACTCAAATCTTAAAATTAATTAAAATGGCAGTGAATCCCTTAGTTATATTTCATGCTAAAACAGGAGTATTCTATACCCAATTCCTTGGAGACAAATTTGTACCAGAAATGGAAACAGAACACTTGTTAATCATTTACCCATGATCTACAGCAAGGGTCCCTAAACCCCAGGGCTGTGGAGCAGTCCCACTCCGTGGCCTATTAGGAACAGCCACACAAGCAGTGGGCAGGTGAACGAAGCTTCATTTGCCCAGGATCTAGGTTGTGTGTGAAACCATCCCTCTCCTGGTTTGTGGGAAAACTGTCTTCCAAGAAACTGGTCCCAGGTACCAGAAAGATTGGGGACCACTGATCTATGGTAATAATTGTGTAGCTTTGTGAATGGAGCAATATTTCAGTCCTTACAATGCTCAAAGAATTCAAGAGTAGTACTTATGTCTGACAGCATGATAAAGTGAGAACACTGTAATGATAAAGATATCCATGTTTATAATTTCTTAAAATGATAAATTTGCATAGAGAAGCTTCCAAAGTCAACCAATTAAACTAAATAATGAATCCTGATATCCAATATGTATATTAAACCTGTGCACATACTTCAAAAATGATTTTAGTGTTTCACATTTCAATACCATTCTGTTATTTAAAGCAACACACCTTTTTCAGGCTTTCATGGCAGTATGAAAAATGTTTCCATAAACTTTTGTGTGTTTATTTTATTGTGTGATTCTTAAACCAGCAGCATCTTCCAGGATGCTAGTAGTCCTAATGCACATTAATATTATGTTAAGATTAATAATATTAACTCAGCACAGGTTGCTATGTCCAGGCACTCCAGAGTTATGAGGGGTCTTTGATGCTCTGAGTTTGGTAGTTTTCTTGCAGACATTTCATTATCCAAACTAGGTAATATCATCTGGGCTAGTCACAATCATGACTAGCATTGATGATGTTTACCTAATTTGGGCAATGAAACATCTGCAAGAAAACAACCAAACCCAGCATCAAGGACCCCTCAATTAAATCCTGATTGCAAATATTTTTCTTTACTGGGTCTCCAAAATTAAAATTCTACATAAAAATTTGAGAAGAAAAGTTAGTTTTCAATACATAACTAAGTATGGTATTTCAACAAATGTTCCTTTTATGACTCCAATTATAGTTTTCATTTTGAATTATTACAAAGATTGATTCACTATACTGACTTCCAAATTTGAAGTCTAGTAGCTGATACTACTGAACCAATACAACTTTATAGGCAGTGACTTGGATTTTATTCCACCTATTGAATATTAATGCCTGTGAACTGCTGGGGTTTGAAACAAGTGCCTTCCAAATATTCATTCATTTTGAAAATGTCTTAGTACAAATAAATCACAAGAAGCTTTACTTTAACAGACGATCTAATAGTAAGCTTATTTTCAGTATTTTTACTCAACTCTGGTCATTAAATACTGAAAACACATCTTTATAAGGTTATGAAACAAATCATTTACTTTTTTAAAAAAAGCTAGGCAAAAAGTATAGACATATAATTACAAATGTTAAAAATCTGGCATTGCTCCAGTATTCTGTGCAAGACAAATGGCATCGGAGACAAATTATGCACCAAGTTAGAGAAAAGCCACTCTTCACAATTTTAAAAAATCCTATGTGAAGGTTATTATCCATTTCAAACAACTGAGAAATAATAGCCATCTCTTTTTCTTAATCATTGTATTGCAAATTCCCTTATTTATTGCTTTAAATGAAACCCTCTTGTGTTAAGTTCTAGTTTTCCTTTTATCTTCAAAAAGATTCCTCAACATGTACACCTGAACAGCTGACACTATAATCATTACTGCCAGGTTGACTATGGACCAGAAGTTTACCCTGTCATAATTGCTTTCTTGTATATTTCTATCACGAGCTTCAAATGCTTTGAGCAGGTTTTGAATCTGAATGCTTTTGCCAAGCCGAGCCTTCACACTGTTAACAGATTCCTAGTAAAAAAAATAAAAGAGTTTTAAAACCGAATATTTTTAAAGAAAAAAAAAGAACAAAGACAAATCTGAAATTTACTCCTAGTGTTGACATTGTGAGATCATGCTCCAACCCTCCTTTTCACAGGCCATTGTTCCTAGCTACATTGTTCCTAATGTTCTAGTCAAGAAGTTTGTTATTCACATAGGCAGCTGAAAGGACTCTTCTGCTTTTCATATACTATATACTACTAATATATTGGAAGATTACAAATCATCCTCTTTCAGCTAGACTTGGTCAGCTAAAAATTCCTTTGATCTCAATGTTCTCTGAAATGTTTTGTTTTTAATCTTAGCACTCAAAATATTCCTGATACGCCAGTTATTATGTTTGTAAGTATTGGTAGTCCTCTACTTATAACAATTGAGCCCAAAATTCATGTTAAGTGAGAAATTTGTTAAGTGAGTTTTGTCTCAATTTATGACTTTTTTGCTTAACAAATGTCACTGCAGTTGCTAGTAACATGGTGGTTAAAGAGAATCTGGCTTCCCCATTGACTGCTTGTCAGAAGGTTGCAAAAGATGATCACGTGGACTCAGGGCACTGCAACCATCAAATAAGAACCAGTTGTCAAACATTTGAATGTAAATCACATGACTGTAGGGATGCTGCAACAGTCATAAATGTTAAAAATGGTCATAAGCAACTTTTTTTTAGTGCTGTTGTAACTTTGGTCACTAAATGAATTGTTGTAAGTTGAGGACTACCTGTACAATATTCCAGTGTTGCTATTCCAAGCAGGTATACCCTCTTTATCTCATTCTTCCATCACAGAGAAAAAGAAAAGATTTCAAAACATTCTGAACTTTGAACCATTTTGAATCCTACTAAAAATGCCAATACTACATGTATTGCATGAAGTAAATGTGAAAGTAATCAGTAGGGATAGATGTGCAATAGCTGCTACATTGCCCTATTTGCAATCCAATTTTGATTCATTGAGAAAGAGAACAAACACGTTTTATGTACCAGTAGTCATACATTCTACAAGAGCTTCTATGTTACATACCAGAATATCTTCTAACTTCGTATCCAGAAGCTCTGTTCCAGTTGCATATTTTTCCCAATCATCTTCTTCTTCTCCCATGTTATCTAAGATCAGTTCAAAGAAAATCACTTTCTCTGATAGGGTGCTAAATGTGTTGTCAAAGCAGAACATGTAATCACCTTCCTCTGTCTCCACTCTGTTAACATAAGACATTTGCACTTTAATACACTATACAGGCAGTTATATTACTTTCAAGCCCCTTAATGACAGTACTCTGAAACTTTAAAAGGATACAGCTTATGTTATATCTAAATTGCTACAGCACCCTGGGTCAATAGAACTTTGCAGGAATGCTGTGCAATACTTTAAATTGTTGAGGAAAAGAGCAATCTTTAACATCTGTTGGACATTGGCTTAATATTGCAGTTTCCCTCAAAAATGTAAAATATTCCCTAGCACTTTTGTGCTTTTCTCTTAAACACATGGTTCCCAAACTGTCATAACACAGCATGCCACGAAAGAATTATAGAGACATACTGAAGCAAAAAAAAAAAAAAAACTTCGGGAACTTCCAACCTAGCATATTTCAGCTGCAGAAAAGACAAGATTTTAAGTAATTTCCCTTTCCATAGCAATTCCCTATACCTTGTTTCATATCTTTCAAAAAGATTTTGCCATCTTTGGGGGTGTGGGAGGAATGTATAGCAAAGATCGCTCAATCTTGTGAATTTCTTTTTCAAAACTCAGGATCTGCCAAGTGAATCATTTATCATTTTTAAACTTACGTGTGGACACCATCTGATTTTCTCTGTTCAAAAACTAGGGTTTCATGTTTTGGTGAAACGAGGTGAAAATCCACATCTAAACCTGCTCCGTCTAGTACCTAAGAATGCAACAAAGGTAGAAATTAAACCAGTACTCATCAACTTAAAATTGGTAAACAAGGTTTTTATAAACCAGTCTCAAAGTGAACAAAGTGATATAACTCTGTGAACCAAATGTGAAAGCTATTGGGGACATCTAATTTATATAGTAAGGGAGAACTGCAGATATAGTTAATAGTATATCAAAATATTTAATAGATTATATAAACATGGCCCAAGATTTTGTGAAAGCAACAGCATTTTTAATCTAGCACTCGCTTGTTTTTCATGTTACAAAGAACAATAGCAGCATTCTTTTTTAAAAAAAAAACCTGTCATTAAGCAAAGATATTTATCCCATGGTTGGCAACTATGTCAAGCATGTTACTTCGCACCTTCTGTTTGTATTACCCGAGTCACCTTGAGATGGATGGCATATAAATTTTATACACACATGTAAAAATAAACCTTCCCAATAATGAAAAGGAAATTTCAAAAAATACTAATATGGCAGAGGTAATTTGAAATTAACTTTCTAGTAACCTTGAGTAGAATTGATCTACAAATTCATTTGTTTTGTCATTAATAAATCATACTCCATAAAATACAGAATACAACAACAGCACACTAAGTAATAAGTAACAGGTAGTTCCATGACACTGGAGAAGAAACTGTTCAGATCCAATGTAGTCAAATTGTCATTTAAACTATTCATCTTAGTTCATTTTAGGCTTATTTGACTCTCACAATCCAAGTACACTGCAGAATTTTGTTATGCAGACTTGTCAGTCCGAACATCTAAAAACCAGTCTGATCAAGCTGTGTCACTGATATTTAGCTAGTCTGTTTGCTCTGTAAAACAAACACGAACTACCACATTCCCTCAACTTAGACCAGCCATCACATGGACATGCAGGGCTCTCAGGTTCCTAGCAAATATGGCCAATAGTCAAACTAGAAGAAACGATGGCACATGCACTCTATCCATCTGGAAGTTGGGGAAGGCTAGATGATGGCCAGAGATGTGAATGTTTCATTCTTTAAAGTTTTGATACTGCAAATAATTTTTCCAAAGCATCTGAAGGCCAGACAAGAAATAATGGATGTAAACTGATCAAGGAGAGATTCAACCTAGAAATAAGAAATATTTTGATAGTGAGAACAATCAACCGGTGGAACAGCTTGCCCTTGGAAGTTGTGCGAGCTTTCCATCATTGGAAGCTTTGAAGAAGCAACTGGACTGCCACCTGTCAGAAATGATCTCCTGCGTGAGTAGGAGGGGTGGTTGGACTAAATGACCTATAAGGTCCCTTTCAACTCTTATTCTATCCCAGGGGTCTTCAAATTTTGACAGCTTTAAGACTTGTGGACTTCAACTCCCAGAATTCCTCCTCCAGTCAGGTTAACTCGGGAATTCTGGGAGTTGAAGTCCACAAGTCTTAAAACTTGCCAAGTTTGAGGACCTTTGTTCTATTCTGTTATATAATAAAGACGAATAGGTCCCAAACATTTGACTTGCAACTTTTTATATTAAATCCAAGACAAAACCAGAGAAACTGGCAAAAAACCGATTCTCTCCACCTAATCGCATTACGTTCCTGCAGTATTAATAACAGGGTTTGTGCCCTGCCTATTCGCCATGTGAATCTGGGCACCGTGACCTACACTTTACGTCACTTCTTTCTAGAGCCGAAAATAAGCGTGCAGTGTAAGAGGAAACCGCAGATTTGAACTTTTTCCAGGACAGTCTTTGAAGAGCATACTTCCTCTTTAACAGGGGGATTTTTTTTTTCCTTTTGTGGCTTGAATCAAAAGTCCGCTCTTGGATAGATCCACCGATTCTTGGGGAAACCTCGGGCACTGAACTTCAAACTGGGCACCGAGGCGCCTATATAAGACACACACCAGTTGCCCCCCCACCTTCTTTTGCTACCACGATTTCATCTACAGGAGATCCCCGATCTTCCACCACCACCTTTCCCCTCCTTACCTGGAACTCGATCTCCAACGTGGCCTCCTTCTTCATGGTCTGGAAGAAGCACTCCTTCCGGCCGGCGGGTAACGTGAACGTGAAGTCGCTGTCTAAAGAAGCAACGAACCCCAAAACTCTAGGCGGTGGGGGAAGGAGCAGCAGCAGCAGCAGCAGCAGCAACGGGACGGAGACCAGCACGCGCTGCCCGGTCGCCGTCCTCATCCTCAAAAAGTTCCGCAAGCGAGGGGAACCACAAGCCGCAGATCGCAACTCGCGCCACCTCTAACGAGGGCTGGTCTCACACGTCGGGACGTGCAGGGTTAGGACACGCAGGGATGGCGGGGGAGGGTGCGGGGGGTGCGGGAAGTGTTAATAAGAAGAAAGAATACCCACAATACACAGCCCGAGGGAGGGCGGGTTGCGTTAAGGAAAGATACACCCCTTTCTTAAAACGTCAGTCCATTTCCTGAAAAAGGAGGCGCTTTTAAAAGGCCGGGTTTGCAAGGCACGGTGGGGAATGTAGTCCGCCCTGCGTTAAAAATGAGAGCCGGGAGCGGAAAGAAGGCCAGCCGCAGGACTACCACTCCCGAGGGGCGCCAGGAGCCGAGACAACGAACCAATAGACGGCGACCGCTTCCTTTTTAAGCGTCTTCTATTCGCGGACTTTTTCTTTTTAAAAAAATAAAACTTCGATCCTGCGCAGTTAGAACGAGTTGTTCCCAGGGCCGCGAATTGAAAAGCAAAAAAGTAAAGCGCTGACTCCTTATATATTTTAAAAAAAATGCGTTGGGAGGGGGTAAAAATAAGGGATTTCGTAGCGTAGGGGTTGTTTTGGTGACGTTGTTACCAACTGTCAATCCGAGTGGGGGTGCTTTGGAGCTCTCTTTTTAAAATATATATTTGGGCCACTGTAATGCGGCTTTTACTAGAGTTCAATGGGGGCACGAGGAATGCTCCCTACAGGGGGAGAGGAGAAAGAGTTGCTAAGCAACGGGAAAGCTTATGGCCTGGAACCCGCGTGGTTGAGGCGGTTCAGGAGCTGAGGGAAAGAAGGTGGTGATTCTGACGGGCGCGGGGACCGATTTATTTATTCGTTTTATTTATTTTCACATTTTTTTGAACCGCCCATTTCCCCGAGGGTTATTCTTTGCGGGATCCGGAGCGCTGAGAGAAACCATGAAATTATATAGAGGTGAGGGAGGAGGAATATTGAGGATCTCGGCCGGTTGCTGGTGGCGGAGAAGGAACTGAATTTCGGGTATAAAAATTGAGGCAGTGGAGAAGGCCTTCTGAGGAAAAAAACTGCCATTGTCGAGCAGAGTTTAAGGTGTTTTTTTTCTTCTCACGACCCTTTCTCGGTTTATTATATAGATAGATAGAGAGAGAGATAGAGAGAGAGAGATAGATAGATATAGATAGATATAGATATATAATGAGCCCAAACTAGCTTTTCTTTTTATGGTTTATATGTATAAGAATTTCCCATATTAACAATTAAAATGGATTCATTCATAGAATATTTATTGAATCGTGCAGAAAGAGAAAAAGAATGCAAAGAAATGATTTCTGAAGAAGTGACTTATGATCATTTTTTACAGTTACAATTGTTGTAGCATGGTCATGTGATCAAAATTTAGATGTTTGGCAACTGACTCATATTTATGACAGTCACAGTGTCCCAGAGTAATGTGACGACCTTTTGCTAACTTTTGCCAACCAAAGTCAATGGGGAAGCTAGATTCACTTAACACCTTACTTAATAACTGCAGTGATTCACATAAGTGTGGCAAGAAAGGTTGTAAGATGAGTTGTAACCACCATATTCTTGCATTGTTTCATTTGTATATTATAACCAGATATGAGGTCTTAAGGGAACCAGGAAGATGGGAGCAGCAGGCAAGCAGGCTCTCTGCTTAACTAAGATTAAACTAACCTATTATTACCTGCTTTTAAGGCTATTTTTCTATCATATCTTAGTCTTCACATTTTTATTTTTATTTAAACCCTTTACATTTTTGAAATTTTTGCAGTGTGATCACTAATCCACTTTTAGTTATATTTCAGCTATGGTTTAGCTGTATTTTTTAAAAAAACGGAGCTGGGCCTTGCTGCTGCTTCTTTGTTGTTGTTCTAAAGATCTTACTTCTTTCTCTGGAAATCTAGCAATGCCTAGCATTGATGTGATTTCTCTTATCTGATTTATTCTATTTTTATCCACTATTTTTATTATTTTATCATTTTTATTTACTCATGTTCCCTGCTTTGTCGGGAGGGCAGGATCCTTGGTATACTTGTGGGGGGCTCTGCCATTGTTTGCATTAGGACTCATTTCTTCTCAACTCCCGATTCCTTTTCCTCTGGATTTTGGACTTGTTTCAGTGACTAGACTCTATGCTATATTACACAGCTCCCCCTCTATTGTGCTACTTAATATATGACAAGGAGAGACAAGGAAGACAAGGAAAAGGAGTAATTTTTCACTGACCTGGTTCCTCAACCTTTTCTAAAGCAATCCAAGATTGAGGACTATGTTTTAGCTCGGCTTCTCAGTTTGAAAGCTCCTGCTCCCTTTTGTCTGGCTGCTGCCGGTTGTCACGATCTTCCGACGGTTGAGGGCATCGCCCCCCATGTTGAGAACAAAGGCTTATCTAAAACTACAGCCCCCAACCAATCCTTAACTGAGCACACCCTTACAGAACTTTTGGCTCAGCAATGTTTCTTGGTTGCAGAAACTACAGCGAGCATTCAGCTCTAGCTTGATAAAATAATAAGTACTTTAAACTACTTAGTTTCCTGGACTACCAGTGGGAGCCCTGGGTTGACCGCTTGGCAGCCTGATGCAGCGGCAGGGTTCTCCCTGCCAAGCGTCAGCAAAAGCACTGGCCAATGTAATCCTACCAATAGTTCAAACTTTACATCTTTTGATGCAAACAGTCACCTGGTCTTACAGTCAAAACAGGTGGCCTTCATCATTAATCTCATTAATGGCAACTTACCTCACTGGCGTTCAACACAGTTGGTGAAGAGCCATATATTACAGCTATTGGGGCTAAAAGCTGATGATTTGAAGAAGGTTGAACTTTTACCCTCTCCTGAATACTGCACTAGAGTGCTACTCAGTTTTGACAATTCCAACACCCCAAAACTATTTTTCAGAAGAGGATCCCTGTTAAGACCCTTCGGCATTCTGCCAAGAAGAGTCTTCAAAGATATGTCAATTAAGCCACTCTTGAGTAATCGACAATTTGTGAGTGGCAGGAGATTTATTGCCCCCAAAAGATCCTCAGCAGCACATATTAATGTGCCAACCTTGAATGGCTTGAATACTACATCACGTACGAATTATACACCTATTCCCGCAAAACCTCCAGTTGGCATCCTCTCAGATGGTAGCCTGACTGTTCCTCCTACAACCGGTCAAATTAACCCCCCACAGCGAGTAACATCTTACCAGGAAGCTTCCCTTGATTTGATCAGCTGGGAAGAAATGGCCCCAAAGGAAGCGACACCAGCCCAGGGCACCCCAGGTTCCTTAGTAAATGAGCCCCAGGTCAGTGCCTCTGGGATTCCATCTTTTTATGAGACTGACTTATGTCAAGACAATTTCTGGAATCAGGAGGAGACACAGCTCTTCGACTCCTTTTGTGCGCTTCCACAATCAGAAAGGGCCCAAATCATAAAGCGTCTGGATGCAGTCAAACCAAGCTCTGGAGTCTTTCACCACCTGATAAGGATTCCCTTGCACTCCAGGGAATCTATACTGATTTACCAACAGAAGTTCCCTTGGCACTCTCTCCAGAATGTCTAATTCGTAAATTTGAAGATCGAGGGCTACTTCAATCTCCATCTGTTGCTGCTGCTGAATACTTGTCAGCTAAGCAACCAATTAATGCCACAAGTATGAATTGGAGTACGCTTAGAGCGCTACAGCCTCATAAACAAGGCTCGCCTCCCCTCCCTCCTTCTCTGCCTTTGCCTCCTAAGAGGATGACCCTGCCACTTAACAACAGGTGTATCTTTTTGGATCCGAAGGGCGCTCTGGGAAAAATTAATCACACAGAATGACTATTAAAACTGGCAAAAAAAAAAAAACACCTGCACACTTAAGTGCCTTTCATGGAACATAGCAGGCTGGGGGAGAAGGTGTGCTACCACAGAATTTGCCAACTATATTCACTCATTTGGTGTGGTCCTGCTTCCGGAGACCTAGGCATGCAATAAGATATCCCTTACAGGGTTTATGGTCATTTCCTTGGCCGCCACTCGACAATCTATGACAGGAAGGCCTAAGGGTGGTCTAGCTTGCTTGGTCTCTACTTCTTTGAAAGTGGAGACAGTGGGGCTGCCCCCCTGTGGCTCTTTAGCTATGGCGCTTCTAATTAAGAGAGGACGCAGCAAACTGTTAGTTTTCAACGTTTATCTTCCATAACGATGAGGCAAGCTGATACTAAGGCTCAATGGGGCATGCTGGAGAATTACATTACTTCTATGGAAACTAAATTCCCAGCGTTGTACATCCTTATAGGGGGTGACTTTAATGCCCGATTGGGAGTCCTAATTCCCCCATCGATTGAGGCACTCTACTCCCAAGAAAATCTCCAGGCCATAGGACACCTGATTTCAGCCAGACATTCTCAGGATGAATTAACAAATTTTTCTGGCATTGAGTTAGCCCTTTTAGCAGCCCAACACAAAAAGATAATTCTTAATGGGAGTACCCTAGGTGATCTAGCTGGTGAGTTTACTTTTAGTTCCTCACATGGGAGTAATGTTATTGATTTTGTGCTGGTATCCCAGCTTCTTAGAAAGGCAGTCCGTGCTTTCTATGTGGACTGCCTTATGGAGAGCGACCACTACCCCCTGGTTACAATTATTGGGCTTTCCTCAAATATACATCTCCCTAGGCGTCCCCATATATTAGATCCCTATGTGGCCTCATATACAAGGAGGATCAAATGGTCTTCTAATACTGAAAGAAAGTTTCACTCCTTTTTATCATCTCCGGAGTGTCTCAGCCTATACAATCAGGCCCTAACAAGTAGTGGCCCAGGGACAATTTCGGCCTTTGAATCACAAATTAATAGTGTTCAAAGGGAGCTAGGAGCTGTCCGTAGGCCGAGAGGTCCATATCATTCAAGAAGTAATTCTTGGTTTGACAAAGAGTGTCTGATGCTCAGGAACCAGATTAATCAGGTTTACCTGCTCTATTGTAATTGAGGGGATAAATGCCCACCAGAGGACTACTATCGCTTGAAGTGGGAGTATAAAGGACTAATTGCTAAGAAAAGGAAAGCTAAAGAGAGAGAGAAGTGGGATCTACTTCTCCTCTCCATTCAGCAGAAGAACACTCGATTATTTTGGCAAATTGTTGCCAGCTTCTTGCCGAATCATCAAGAACTCCCCCTCTGCTGTATTTCCAACAGAGATTGGGAAAACCATTTCTTGGCAATTTTCCAGGTGTCAACAAGTTCAACCATGCTTGGGCCACAGCTGCCTCCTGCAGTTCCTGACTGGCAACCCGTGACTCATGCTGAGATTACCGAGCTAATCTCCGAACTCAAGTCAGGCAAAGCCCCTGGCCCTGATGCTATACCCCCTGATTTGCTAAAATCCAACCCCGAGTGGTGGATTCCTTTCTTAGCAAGACCCTTCATACATATCAATACCTCTGGCAGGATCCTTACCTCCTGGAGCTTAGCAATTATTGTTCCAGTTTTTAAACAAGGAAATAGGAACAACCCAGCCGACTATCATAAGCCTGCTCTCCATCATTGGAAAATTGTATGCTAAATATCTCCAATGCAGACTCCTCACTTGGGTTGAGGAGTCTAATATTATTGGTACTGAACAGATTGGGTTTAAAGCGGGCTGTACCACACTGGACCACTGCTTTGTCTTAGCGCACTTGGTCAATAAATATACTACCATACCAGGTGGCAAACTTTTTACTGCTTTTATCGACCTAAAGTCAGCATTTGACTCAGTCCCTAGAGGACTGTTGTGGTCAAAACTGCTCAAAAGTTCTATTGATAGACATCTTCTGTTCCTAATTAGACCCTTGTACAACCAGAACTCTAGTCAGGTCAGGTGTGGTTTGCAGGGAGAATTTTCAAATCCTATCCCGATTAAGAACGGAGTAAGGCAGGGTTGTGTTCTGGCTCCTCTTTTGTTTAATTTATTCTTATCTGACTTGGCCCTTCACATCGGACGTATTGAGCCCCCCCCCCCCCCCCCAAAGCTGTCAACTACGAAGATCCTGCTTCTCCTTTATGCTGATAATACGGCCCTCCTTTCATTGTCAAGGCTAGGTCTGAAAAGATTGCCTTCTGCATTTGGGTCTTACTGTGCTGAGAACCACTTGTCCATTAATTATGACAAATCCAAAGTATTGGTGTCCTCTAGAGCCCGGAAATTGTATAACTGGGCTATCAATGGTAGTGCTGTTAAGCAGGTTTTCCATTTTAAGTATTTAGGTATTCAATTTCAGAACACTGGTGCTTGGACTAGACATCGAATCCAGGTGCTGAATTCGGCCTCCTGTAGTCACCAGCAGATTTTAAGATTTTTTTATACCCAAGTAGGCCAGTTTATTCCTTCTGCTCTGCATATTTACAAAGCCAAAACTTTGGCTCAAACTCTTTACGGAATTTCCACATGGATATGGGACTTCAAGAATTGTATTGAAAGAACCCAGGCTGTCTTTCTTAAAAAAACTTCTGGGTCTTCCTCCTTGTGTTGGTTTCGCTCCAATGTACCTGGAACTGGCCCTCTATCAGTCGAATGTATGGCGTCGATTAACACCTTTAAATGGTGGTTTCGGGTGCTCTTTCTGGCAGTTCCTGGTAGCTACCTCTCCCTGGCGTTTGCTGACTCATATTTCTTGTTGGGAGAGGGAGCTGATGAAGAAATTACACCTGCTAGGTTTTACGGGGGATCCCCTGGGAGATTAAGGCCTTAAGGACTCCCAATTAAGGGTAGTCCAATGGCTTGTGGACATTGACTTGCAATATCTACGAGCCAGAGCTAACAAAACTTGCTCCCCTCTGATCTTCAGCCAATTTAATAATTACGGACTGAGGATGGCTTCCTATTTTTACACTCTAATCATTTCCAAGTATAGAAGAGTGTTCTCACTAGCTCGCTTTGATGTCTTGCCCTCAGCACTGCTGGATGGGCAATTTAAGAGGCTCCCCATTAATGAGCGGCTATGCCCCTGTGACAGAGCTGAGGTTGAAACTGTGGAGCATGTCCTTTTATGTATTACGCAGGCTATGTATAACGCAGGCAGATCTAAGTTACTGTCTCTCCTTGAAATAGACCCTTCTAGACCCAATGTTAGTAATTTGTTGTTATATTGTCTAGGGGATGGCTCTTCATACATCACTTCTCAGGTTTCCAATTTTTTTTAAAGAGCTTGTAACCATCAGAGGAGAATGCTGTAATTCCCCTTAGTCAAGTTTTGGTGACCAATTGTTCATGGCTAATTTTCCCATGTTCTTCTTTTTTGTACTTGTGTTTTGGTCTGTGACCGCAAATAAAGTATTATTATTGTTATTATAACCAAAAGTTTCTCCCATTTTGTCATAAATCCAGTTTTTTCTTGTTTCACATTTTAACAAAAGGTTATACATGTTCATCAATTTGTACATAGTTCTGAAAACAGGTTAATTCAATATAGAGTTAAATAATGTTAACATTATTTAACTCTATATTGAATTAACCTGTTAGTGTGTGATATTAATAGTATAAATACATATTAAAATGAGTCATGCCTACCATTCAGAAAACCTAACCCAGTTAAAACTACTGTAACTTTAAAGAACTTTCAAAGGAAAAAGTGGATTCAATTATTTAAAAAAGTTGTTCAGTAATACCAGATAACAAACAATGTATTTAAATAACATTTGTTGCCTTCCTAATAAAGAGATCTTAGTAAAGCTGAATATGTACTATAAGTATCAAACTCAATTTTTCTAGAGAGCTACCTCATCTAGGCTGAAGTTGTCTTGTATTTCCTTCAGTGGTCTAATCAGGAACATCTTGTCTGGATTAAAGCTCAATTTAGTTGTTATCCAGTTCATCACTACCACAGGTCCCAGATTCAGTACATCAGTATCAAATACCTTGATGATTCTCCTAATGAAGATTTAGAACGAACCCTGAAGATACAGATGTATCTATGGAATTCTTACATACATCTGTATCTATGGATATTAATGTGTTAACATGAAGGAATATAGCATAAACCGTATTATCTTGATAACCACCTCCATGGCATTCAAATCAGTACAGTTTAGGCCATGTGTTGGTTGGATTTCTGTCAACTAAAATATGTGAATTATGCACTCTTTGTATTTATGCAGGGCACTATCTCCTAGTTATTTCCTTCTATTTATCATTGGTTATTATCATTCAACTTAAAGTTTTTCTAAAATTAAAAAATGACCATAAATAGAAGTTTGTTTCCAAACAACTAATTGTTTGATGGTTATTAATGTTAAGAAATAGTAGTGTGAAAGTGGCTGAATGTATTTGGGCAGCTAGAGTTAACATATTTCTGTAATGATGAGAATTAAAAAGCAATATTTCAAACAGTGAATGGTAGTTATATTACAATTCTCTTCTTAGTTATTTATTTCAGACAAATGAATATAAATGGAACCTAACTCATGGGCTTCCAGTGACCAACGGGAAGATGTGGAAGATTTGCTTGCTAACATTGTAGCATTAAGAGGTCATCTAAAGAAAACAGAAAAAACTTTACAAGACTTGGGAGAACAGCTTTATAGGTATAACTGTGTGGAACTATAGTTGCTGTTACTGATGTGCTTATTTACATTGTGTTTATATCCGAACTTTGAGATTTTCTGTCAGAATAATTAGTGTAAAAAATTGAAGTAATATCTTTCTTTTATTTTTGTTTTTCCAGTAATAATTCAAATTCTGAACTTGGTGTTCATGACAGTGAGCTTGAAATTTTAACACTGAAAGATCTGGTTGATTCTTCTGAATTACAGAATAGTACTGTGAGCAAAATGTCTTGGCATAACAGTGATTCTTCAAGGAAACCCAGGAGCAAAGTAATTATTTGAGAATTTGCTCATTTCTAGCAATATGCCTACATTACCTTTGGTTTATCCCAAATCCTCATACTGTTGATCCTAAAAATTAACATTTGTGTTTATTACAAATGGTTTTTTTTTGTAGTCATATTCAGTGGCTTTTGATAAGAGTATGGAAGAGGAAAATGAACTTCTAAGGGACAAACTGAATGTAGTCCGTGAAAACAATGCTGCATTAATTTCTCAGAATCACAAACTAATGAATGAAATTGAAACTTTAAAGTTTGAACTAAACCAGGCAAGAGCACAAGTAGGTATCTTAAAAAGCATATTTATTACCTGCTATATTGTTAGTTATAATATTATCCTTTATGTTGAATTGTAATGTGTAATGTTTTTATGTTAGCACTTATGAATACTTAGCTGTGGTTTTTAGGATTACCTTCGCTCAGATTTGGAGGAATGAATTTTAAAGTGGCATAATGATGTATCTTTACTTTATTAAAACCATTGTTCCATATTATATAAAGAAAAAAGCTACTTGGTATTACAGACTATAAAACTTGAGAGATACCTTATTTTTCTCTTTCACACATTACATTTTAAGCATCCACAGTAATATTAGATCAGCAAAAATCAGCCCTAATCTTGCAATATTTTATAACTTTGTTTTACGCTATAATTGTCAATGTTTAAGTATATTTTTAAGTGAAAAAAGACAAATAGTCTTCATAGAATAGTTTTATTTCTATTGTGTTATTGACTAACTTAAAGTATAATGCTGTGTGCAGATTAAAAATGTTGGAAATTAGTAAAGAAATATTCTATTTATATTGGTAATTATTAAAGTTATTTGCCTACTGGAAATAGCAAAAAAATAGATTGAAAAAAGAAGTGTGTAATCAAATAAGTGTACAAATGATCTATTAAAAAGAACAATAATAGATTCTTCCTTTTTACCTTATTTTTCCAGATATCTTTCCTGGAATCTACTTTGAGTACATGTTCAGTCCATGTTCCAATATTAGAAGAACAGATAGCAAGCTTGGAAGCAGATGTTCAAGCTCAGGATAGTCTTCTAAAGTAATTATTGTTTAAAAATTTTTTTTTAATTTGCAAGATTGGTTCATTCACTATTTTCCACTTGGAGCTTGGTTCACTCATTTCATATTGAGATGAAAGTTTATACACTATATCAAGTTGTGCTTTCCTTTCTGAAAATAAGATATGCTCTAGGCCAGGGCTGACAAACCTGCGGCCCGTGGGCCAGATGTGTCACGCACTATCCAGGTCCAGTTTAGCAAAGGGGGGAAAGATCCCAATATGTCATGCGGTGGTGCCATGACGCTGCAAGTTTGACAGCTCTGCTCTAGGCCATCCAGTTTTGGGGATTCTTTATCTCTTCTTTATCTCTTGTTCTGAATGGGTTGCACTACCCCAAACAGAGCCAGAGTAAATTTGGGGATCTTCCTAAACTTATAGCTTCAGTTTGAGGATGAGATAGCAATTGTGACCAGGTCAGTCTTTGCAGGGCTTTGTGTCGTGTGCCAGTTTCACCCTTTCCTTGAATGGGAGTCTTTGTTCACTGTCACTCACACCTTGGTCATCTTCTGGATAGACTATTCTGTAGTCCGCTGGAGATATTTGTATTTTATCTGTATTGATCGGTTTGTCTGTTTGTTTTAATTTCAGTTACCAATTGTTTACTTATTTTCTATTGGAGAGGAGTTGATGTTTTTTTATTATTGTTGTTAGCTGCCAAGTCTTTGGTTTGAAGTGGGTAATGATAGTGAATATACAAATGAATGAATGAATGTTCTACCCCTTCTTATCCTCTTAGAAAACTAATTTGAATACAGATAGTCCTTGACTTACCATAGCAATTGGGATTGGAATTTCCATTGGTAACTGATGTCATAAAGTGCAGTGGCATCGCATAGTGATGGCAGTCCCTGAGTCCTGGTTGCTGTCATTAAGTGAATACCTTGATTGTTAGGCGATGCAACTTCCTGCTGGCTTCCCATAATCAAAGCCAATGGTGAAGCCAGCAAGAAATTGCAAGTCCATGCCCACAGGCAGATAAGTGGGAAGGAGTGAGGGGGTGCATGGAGGTGCATGGAGGTGCGGGGGTGCATGGAGGTGCGGGGATGGGTAAGGAATATACATGAGATCCACTGCATGGCAGGTTGAGAGTGTGTGAGTGCACAAGCGGTGTGTAAAAGCCATGGGTCAAGGAAGGTAGGCAAAAGACATAAATCAGGACAGGCATGATTTGAATTAGGGAGTGTGAGATGCACACAAGAGTTATGTGAATTGGGCAGAGTATGCAAGGTTGTGTGCAAGAGGCAAGGCACTGGCATGATTAATGAGAGTACAAGGAGGTATGTAATAAGTGCCACTGAGTTGAGAAGAGTGCACAAAGGTATGTGACAGACATCATGCAGGTCAAGGAGAGTGCCCAGGGATATGGGTTGGGATAGGTGAGCAGGGGTGAGTGGGTAGTGTAATTGCAGAGGGACTTGGGAGCGTGTGCATGGATAGGAGAAACGTAACCTGCAAGCACCAGATCGTGATCATGTGATCATAGAAAGGAACAGAATAGAATAAAACTTTATTGTCACTTTAAATGGATACTAATCAGTATACATTAAAATGAAATTTCATTGCATTCAGCTCCCAAAAGATAACCATTATGTACATACCCAATATACAGACATATATGACACAGAGAAACATCACAGTCTAGTTTGAATGTATACATATACATGGCAAAAAAAAAAATGTTGGAATTGGCAGAACTCTGAGGACCACTCACAACCACTATTCATTCAGTGCCATCATAACTTGGAACAACCACTGCCCTAATAGTTGTAGATCAAGGAGTCCTGGTGAATAATGTTCTGATCTTTAGTGCAGGGGTCTCCAATCCTCACAGGCCACCACCAGGCTTTGAGCTGTTTGGAACTTGGCCATGGAAGTGGCGGGTGAGTGCACATGGATCCCCACATGCATCCCTGCAAATGGAGCAGCAATTACTGCTCCATTTGCGCGAGCAGCAGTTGCACATGCCCGCCACTCCCATGGAACCACCCATCCCCCCACCGTGCCCGAAAGGTTGGGAGAGATTGCTTTAGTGTACATTACTCTGGCCATTTATTTCAAATTTCTATACTGAAAATATGATTGGAATGGGCGAGTTGAGAATGCTTTCCAGCTGTTAATATTCATTAGCCAATATCTTTGCTAGAAGTAAACTTTACCATATTGTTTTAAAATCTGTGTTTTAGAGATACAGAAGATAAATTAGAAGAAAGCCAGAAAATGCTAATGGAAAAAGAATGTGATTTGCAGAAATTAAAGGAGGATTATAGAAAAATGAAGCATGATTTAATTGGATGGTCCAAACAAGGGAAGAGGTGAGAAATTACATGCATTTTTATATTTAATTCTGAAATCTTGACTACATTTTTGCTGTAAAATAATTTTTAATATGTTGAATATTTTTAAAATAAAGTAGCATTCAGCAGTATTGCTGCATGTTATACATATGTTTGAGTGCATATTGAATATATATAAACAAATCAGGTTGTAATGGTTTTTGAACCAATAAAAATTCAGTGAGGCTGACAAAATCAAGTACATTGAAGTCAAGAAAGTTAGTAGTGATTATATCATGAGAGTGAAGATCTTAAAATCCAAACTCAGTGAAGGAAATATCATCAAGGAAATTAACGTGGACAATTCCAGTCATTAGATACATAGGTAGAATAATGTACTGGACTTTGCTTAGGTTTACAGTGATTATGATTGGTGGGACTGGGTATTTTAATGAAATGGCTGCTGCTAAGTAACAATTGGGGAAGGCCAAACTAATCTTTCTGCAGAGACATTGAAATCTGTTTCTCTCTCTTTTTTTTATACTGTAGTTCCAAAGTTGTTATATAAAGAAAGCCATGATGTAAAACATGTAGAAACAGATTCTTATTCAGCCTACATTTTAAATATTATAGGCACTGTCTTAAACATACAGAATGTTAAATAATGGATTCTTTGTTTTCTGTTGTATCTGCAAAGCTGTTATTGGCATGGAAATAAATGTTAGTAACTCACTTGTACAATTCTTTAGTTGGAGAGAAGAAATAATATCTAACATTTCCAATTTGCATGCATTTTAGACTTTACTTTCAGAGTTAAATTTATTGGCTTGAAAATAGATGTAGAAAATTATGAGTCCATTTACACTGTTGCTCTATTTTAGTGATTGAGCATATTCTATAACTATTCAGATTGAAGTTTGCTGCTGTGCTCTGAGCCACATTCAAAATTTACTTATTTATTTAATTTATATGCAGCCCATCCTGCTATTAAGCAACTTTGGGAGGTTTACAAAATGTTCTTGCTTGCATCAATAGATCTGCTTATGAAGGAATGTTTTGACCAAAGCTAAATTTATTCTTAATTTCTCATGAAAAACATGTATTTTGGATTCCTTGACATTTTGAAGATCTTTATGTAAACATTTTTAAACTGAGGTATGTTTGAATGATATCCAACAAATACGTATTCTCTGTTCAGATTTATCTTTTTGTTGAGGAACCATTTTTTTACCTCTTTAAACTGAGCTGCTGTTTTCATTTAAAGAACTGAACAGCAAAGAAATGAAGCACTGTATAATGCTGAGGAGTTGACAAGAACATTTAAACAGTACAAAGAGAAAATAACTAATAAACTGGAAAAGGTAAGAAAAGACTCCCAAGATATTTATTAGAACATTTTGTATACCACAAAGCTATGAATTCAACTATTAGTTCTAAAACTAAAGTCACTACTGTTGTTTAATATGTTTTTGCCTGTACCACAAGAGCATCTTAGCCAATAAAAATCAGATTTATTGTATATCAGTATTTGAAGAAATATCCATCTGGTTCAGTTCCAAGTGGGGAGAAAGACACTGGAAACATGAAGGCTGATTAGAAAGATGATTTATTGATGGACAGGACCACATGGGTTTGAGGTCCTGGACCAGCTGACCACATGGAGTAGAGAGTCAGCCTTTGGCCTTGCCCTTGAGCTTCCTATTCTTGTGCAAGAAATGTATTCTATTGGCTGCAGTCAGACTCCCATGCTAGGAGTTTGGCTGAGTTAAGTTTGGTTGAAGCCTGGAGCATGATGCAATGTCCCCAGGTGATTCTGCAATGCAGTGAGCCCTGCTGCTAGATAATCCTATTATATCCTGGAGGATCATGTCTTAATCCCATCACCCTGGAGCTGAAGGTCTTTTGTTTTGTAGATAGGCTGGCCTAGTCCTCCTTAATGAGCATCAACTATCTGCTGGGGGCGGGAACTGAAGATCTGAGTTTCTGTCTCCCTTATTCTATTTCTCTTTTAGGGGAAATATAATATTCTGCCTTTTTAATATTTCCTAAAATATTTCATTCTTCTACATCAGAAATATAATTCCTTGCTGCTAAAAGGTTTGGAGGAGAACAGAATGTAATGCTAGTTTGTAAGAATTTAGAAGGCTACAGATTTACCCAGGAAAAAGTCTATTTGTCCTAAATGAACGGATAATTCAATAGACATGCATATGATTGCATTATTTTTATTTTTTGATTTACTTCATTTGCATACTACCCAATCACCAAATTCTAGAAAACTAAGTCATAAAATAATATCTGCAAAGAAAGAAACAAAAATAACCCAAATTATGCGTAGTCCTCAACTTACAATCATTCATTTAGCAAACTGTTCAAAGTTACAGTGGCACTGAAAAAATGACTAACAACTGATCCCTGTACTTCCGACCATTGCATCATTCCAGCGACCACTTGATTTAGGTGCTTGGTAGACTGATGTCTACCTTATTTTATTATTTGATAAATAGTGGGTTGATTCGTTCTGAATATTTTTCTTTTATTCAGGTCCAAGTTGAAGAACAAATTTTAGAAAAAAAGTTAATAAACTGTGTAAATGAAAAGGAGAAGTTGCTCACACAATGTAATGCCTATAAAAGTGAGCTTGAAAATATAAAAGCTCAATTGAGGTAAGGATCTATGCTAGATTTTGGCATTTAACCATAGAATTGCTTTTGTGATCATGAAAATAGTTGTATGTCCCATTCAAGTCTTTTAATGCATATTTGTCTAGATTTTAGAATATAGTTTTAATATTAATGGTGACTGGATTCTTCACATTCTTGTGTATTATTTTGTATTCCACAGATGAAGTTTTAGATTTTGAAATATTAATATTAGATCACTAGCAAATAGGTTGTGAGAGCCAGTTTGATTTAGTGGTTAAGGCATCAGGCTAGAAATAGAGAAATTGTGAGTTCTAGTCCTGATTTAGGCACAAAGCCAACTGGATGATCTTGAATCAGCCAGTCTCTCTCAGCCTTTGGGACCAGCCACTTCTGAAATCTTTGGCAAGCCACTTCTGAAATCTTTCCAAGAAAACTACAGGGACTTGTCCAGGCAATAACCAGGAGTTAAGACTGACTTAAAGGCACAAATAGGTATATATGTGTGGTGGCAATAAATATCTTAAGCCAAAAGCTTTTAAAAATGGAAAAAATCACTGAACAGTCATTTATAATATAATATGCAATTGGTTTGTTGTAAAGTTTGAAGGAATTGTAATATTTTTCTGGATTTCAAGAATGAGATTTAAATCTTCCTCCATTTTAATTTGAAACTCTATTTCTTACACACTGACAAATGCTTCCAATAATATAGTTGTTCTTAAACAGGTATATGGAGCAATTTTTTTCAGAGGCATGAGAGAGACTTGATGGACTATCTTTATCATTATAAATCTGATTTATTCTTGAGTTTATTGGTAGGGGCTCTGTATGTATCTAGAACCACAGGGTACCACTTTGTAGTTGTTCATGGCAGGCTTTGTGTAAAGTGACACCTATATTTTGGAATGTCATCTCCTGAAATTTATGAGGTACCCATTGTTATATCTTACAGGCATCTGTTGGAGATTAATCCCTTTTGTTATATCTTTTTTTATGTGAAAGCTAGCTTAATATTTTTCCAATTTTCCTTTTCTTTTTTTTCTCTTTCTTACTGTATATTTTATATTGTTTTAATTCATACTTTTAACAGTGTATTTTATATTTTCTCAATCACATTGGATGCTTTGGTATAAAAAGTGATATATAGTTAACCTCCACACATACATACACACTGTGGTCACATGACTGCACTTTGTAACTTTAAGAAGAAAGGGTTCACTTAACCATTGCGGATTCACTTAATGACCACTACAAAAATGTCGTAAAATTGGATCTTGCCATGTGGATGCCTCAACTTACAACTGGAAATCCCAGTCCCAATTGTTGCCATAGGTGGAGGACTACCTATAAAATATTCTTAGTAATCATTTTGAAAAGGGAAAAAAAACTGACAGTTAAAATTCAAAACTATCTGGAATTGCTGGATGCCACAAATTACATGCTGAGAATTAAGCCCTTGATTTATTGTCCATAGACTTTATGGTTTATAAAAGGATATTACGGTATGTGCAAAACAGAATCTTAATTTCTGTTTTTAGCTGTTAGGTGTATTTTCATAAAACACTACAGAAAACCAAAGTATATTATTGCTTGAAGAACTATGCTACTATAAAAGACAAATATATCCAAATCCGGTCACCATTTAACCTCTTTCTGGCAGTGGGCATTAGTGCTCAATTTGTTTTGATGCTACAAGTCTCAAAACATAAAATATTTAAAACTGGTTAGCTTCTGAGAAGATATGAACCATTTAATTTTGTTATCTGTTCATATAGATGCGTAGACAGATAATGGTATGTGTATATATAGACACAGATATATAAATATTACACATGCACACAAATATAAATATTAAAATGACGATGGGCTTGTGCCAATTTATATTATGACTTAACTTGTTTATTTTTGTGTCTGTAGATTTCAAGTTGTCAAATATAGATTATTGATACTTAATTGTAATTATTAGTTTTTTATGACAGACTTTAAAAAGTCAAGATGATTTCATATTCCAAAAGATTGTATGTAAATGCACAGCCTGATTTTGAGAATCCACTTTCCAAATAAAACTGAATCAAACAATTATTGTCAAAGAAATCATGCTAATAATAAGATAATCTTGAAAAACCTGTTTAATTTTGTTTTGCATTTTAGACTGTTAACTGAAGAGAATTGTACTGGAATACAAAACCTTAAAACTATGGAAACAAAAATGTCTGAAGTGGAATTTTTGCTCAAACACTCTCAGCAAAAGAATCAGATCCTTGAAAATAAACTTCAGGAACAAAAAACAGGACTTCAAGAAAAAAATGCCATAATAAATGAAAATGAAGATTTAAAAGCACTAATTGCACAACAAAAAAATCAGCTTAACTTGCATCGTCAAGAAATTCAACATTCAAAAATTGAACTGAAAACTTTAGAAAATGTTATTTTCCAGTTGACCCAAAGCTCATCAAAAGAGGTACAATGATTTCTTTGATATTTTTTGAAGGATCTATTAATTGTCCATGTGTGTACATTTGTGTGTCTATACATTCAAGTCAGCCCTGATTTGTAGTAACTTTCTGAACTAGATCCCTGGAGATTTTTGGCAAGATTTTCAGAAGTTTTGCTATTGCGATCTTTTTTAGGATTGAAAGACTGGCCCAAGGTCACTCACTCATTTTGTTCCTTTTTTTAAAAATAAGTTTTATTTCAGTTTTCCACATTTAAAAAAAAAAACATCTTTTTTTAGTGAACAGCATGATTCCAGGTTTTCACATCTCCATACAGACATGGCTTTGATTACATATTCATCTTTCACATTTAGTTTCATATCTTACCTCTACTTTACATATTTTCTATTATTTTTCTCAAATATTTTCCTTGGGTTAGGCTTATTTTATAAATTTTCAGTTCATTTCTTAACCTATTTCTTTTAACTTTAAATAATTCTCATGTCTTCATATTCATTATACTTATACTTCTATCAGTCATGTTTACAATTTCATCGCATATTCTAATTTCATCATTTCAAAAATTCCACCTCTCTTCAAACATTTCAAAACAAAAATTTCCCCTACAATTACCCGTTAGAATGTGCCACCCCTATAGCTTATATATCATTTAATGAACTCCCTTTTAAATCCCAGTAATCATTTAACTTTTGATTATTTTGATACGTCACCGGAAGTCCCCGCGCATTTTGTTCCTAAGGCAGGACTAAAATTCATACATTAACAGTGATAAAATGCAAACTTTTCTCTGTATAAATGAAAGAATGCCTTTATCCCTGTACAGAAGTATCCTTCTATATGAAACCCTTATAATAGCTATTGTTTTACTTTATGGTGGGATTTACACATTAATTACACTGGACTGTAACAGAGGTACATACATGATTGTAGACATGATTCCATATGTTGTGGTAAGCAGTCATTGTCTTAGCATATTGCATGAACCAGCTATCACATTAAGCCAGTGGCAAATACATTTTATGAGCTAAGAGTTCATCATATGGTGTAAATCCAGCCTTTGAGATCCAAGTTAGGGACACCCCTAGTCTTAAATGGGATTTATGAGATGACAAACGGGCTATTGCTTAAGGAGGTACATTGTAAAAGCTCCTCTGAAGAAATAGAATAGAATGAATAGAATAGAAACTACATTTACACATCCTTATCTTGACTAATTGCTGACCAACAGAGCGGAGCTTCCTTCAAGACAGGTTTACTTGTGGGGTGGCTCCATTATTGTTAACATTCTTCTATCATTTTCTTTCCTTGTTTAGATCTGCTTTAATAGTTTTTTATATTTTTAATAATTATATAATGGTTTTAAGTAATTATTGCTTTATGTCTAATTTTAATTGGATTATTGTACACCACCCAGAGTCACTTTCTATGAGATGTATGACCATATAAAGTTGAGAAGTAAATTGTATCCATGAATGACTTCTCAATTAATTATAACCAATTTTTTAAAATATTTGTTTCTGTTTTTCCCCGTTTTTTAGGATAATCACTCTAATGAAATGTGCAGCAATTGGTCTGAAATAGATGGTCTTCTGAAAGAAGAGCTAAGGTATTCTTTTAACTGTAACTTATTAAGGATCAAATAAATTCATTATGAGTTATAAAAAAAAATCAATTATATACTATTTTTCTTAGACAAAAAATTAACTTTCAAGAAGCAGGAATTCAGAAACTTCAGACAGAATATGTGACCTGTAAGTTAGGTCAAGATTGCTCTGAAGATGATGAGGGACAGGAATTGAATGGTCTAGAAACTGAACCAGTAAAACTCAGTGGAAATCAGGCAGGTATGTATAATGGTTATATGACCTCAGTAATAAAGCACTATATTTCTACAAATGAAACTGAAAAAAATGTAATTTGTTTCTGGAATATTAGATAGTTGCTTCTCCAGAATAATCCACTTCAAAGTACAATAAATGGATCTTGTGACAAGAATATCCATTATGCTTAAATCTAACTAGCACTACAGTGGTTCAGGAAATGATAAAGCTAAACAGGTCATTTTCTAGGCTATGTAGAAATGGTAGGTCATGTTTATGCTTGATATGGCATTTACTGAAGTAATTTCTTTTCTTTGATACACCATCCCCATGATCACACAATCAAAATTTAGGCATTTGGCAATTGACTCAGATATATGATGGTTGCAGTGTCCTCAGGTCATGTGATCACTTTTTGCAACCTTCTGACAAGCAGAATGGGGGAAGCCAGATTCACTTAACAGTTGTGTTACTAACTTAACAACTGCAGTGATTCACTTAAGTATGGCGAGAATGGTCACAAAATGGGGCAAAATTCACTTAAACACAAAAAGCAACTTTTTCACTTGGCAACAGAAATTTTGGATTCAATTGTGGTTGTAAGTCAAGGATTATCTGTATTAACAGTTAAGAGAGAATTCTGCACCAAAGTATGAGTAATGTATGCATCTAAAATATTAATGAAGATCTAAAAATGGATTCTCAGATTAACATTACTTAGGTAAAAATGTATAGCTTTACAATATTGTACATTCTAAAAAAATTTATAAATGGCTAAACATTGTCTCATTTTTAAAGGGACAAAGTGCGAACAACTGGAACTTATTAGTAAACAATTTGAAAAAGAAAAGCAAATATTAAATAGAAATTTAGAAGAACTGCGTATTAAACTGGAAAAATCAGAAGAAGAAAGTGCTATTTTAAAAAACAACATCGCCCAGAGAACTAATCAATTTCAAACAATACAGGAAGAGCTATTAGAGAAAGCTGCAAAATCATGTCGCTTGGAAAGAGAAGTAAGTGAAAATTAAGAAGTCTGTTCTTGAAGGCTATCTAGTTTAATTTTATTTTTATATGGTGCCTCGGAAGTTCCCAAGAGCATACATTAATTCCTCTGTAATAATATACTATGGCTAGAATTTGTTTCTTGCATCAATACTGAGATCTCCTTTCCTTATGGTTTCTTTCATAGTGATAACTCACATTGGCTTAAGATCATTCTCACTATTGAACCAAAGAATACTTAAGGCCTTTTGGGATAATTTGTCAGTGTCTGAAGTATGCAGTAGTTATTGTAGTATAGTCCCACAAGCCAAAATCTAATGTTATATTCTGTCATCATATAAAACAGCAGATGCCTATGTACTTCTTGTTCCAGACATGACTGATATTAGCAATAGCACCTAGACTTATATACCACTTTATAGTGCTTTACAGCTCTCTCTAAACAGTTTACAGAGACAGCATATTGCCCCCAACAATCTGAGTCCCCCTATTGCTGTTGATTTTAACAAAAATAACAAAAAAGTTACTTTGTGGTAAAATGGGCAGCCAGTAAATTTGATAAATAAAATAAAATAAATAAAAGGAGAAGTGACATAATAGGTAAATGGGATGAACTGTGAATGTGAATGAGTTTATGCTTTACAATTTAGGTATGTATGTATTTTCTTAAATACTCTGAAATACAGCTCATGTTATTTGCTGTTACTAATACCCTAAACTGTGAAAAAACATACTGCCATTGTTTCAACCATCTGCACTATATAGAAGTTGCATTATCTGTATAATAAATGTATAAAAGTATATCAACCCTTGTTCATTTCAATTTATGTACATATTCTTTATAGGTAGCAAGAATATCCTCCCAGTTTTCCATCCTTGAAAAACAGTTGGAAGAAAAAACTTTTGCTTATGTAACTGCACTTGCAAGAAATACTGAATTGGAACAGGAATTAATGGTCACAGTCTTTTTTCAATATTTTGAAGTAGAATGAGATGCATTAATCTTACATGATGTTAAACAAATTGTGCTAATATGCTTTGTTTTATTCAGAGCTTGTTTCTAATATAATTTATAAAAAGCAAAATTCTTTTTTATTTTATATAAAATTGTGTATCTGATTTTTACCTGTTAATTTTCTGCCTAATATTTTTAGTTACGCTTCCATAGTGAGATAATGGTTGCCAAAACATCCATATAATTTTTTTCAACTTATTGTCAAATTGTTGTCAAACTGTAAAAAAAAAGTTTTTTCCTAGGCAATGAACTCTGAGCTTCAAAGCATGGAAAGAAACATCACTAAAGAACAAAATCACTTCTCTACAATATTAGAAGAAACAAAGTTAATTAATCATGAGCAACAGAAGGAGATGAAAAACCAAATTGATTTAGTAAGTCTCAAAGTTGTATAATATGAATTGGAATTAAAATTTCAATTCCCAAATATTTTGGTGGGCTCTTGCACTTAGAATAAGGCAGAGGTATATCTTTTCTATCTGGGCTTGCCTGTATGTAAACAGCAAACAGCATGGCTCTCTGCAAAGTAATTTACATAGCTATTTCATGCAATAAGTTCTTTGTGGAGGCATACTGCATGGCTTTTTAAGAATCATGCTACTTTAAATCTCAATAAAAGAATAGCTAATGTTCCAATTGATAGAATATTGTACTGTCCAGTGCTTTTTTCCCCATGAATTTCTTGCTACTAGGAACAGTTGCTAAGCTATTCTGTTATCAGCAGGCAAATAACAGCTGGCTTCAGGAAATGCATGTTATCTATTAAAAGACAAGAAAGAGTATGTTCACTCTTTTGAATTACATTATTCCCACAATTCGCATAAGAAAGAGTTTGGATGTAATATAAATATACAATTTGCCACTGATACAGAGTAACTTGAATTGTCACTGCCGCTCAGCAACTATTGTTCTCCACTTTCCTCTTTCTTTTCAATTCCTGCATGTATCTTAGGCCTCCAAATCAGGAAAAATAATTGGAATAACAATTCTAGGATTTGTTCCCTACATAGAGAACAGGGTAACAATGCAGTTCTATCATATTGTAGGTATTGCTATTTATGGCTTTTTAATGCTGCTGTTGCTGTATTTACTTACTTACTTATTACATTTATGTGCTGCCCATCTCATCAGAGACAACTTGGGGTGGCTTACAAACATTAAAACCTGTAATTTACACACATTAGAATAAAACAATCAATAAAAATAAACACTGTTAAAGGTGGAAAGGAGTGGTTGATGATATTTCAACCCATGGTGATAGAAGATCTCACCCAGCAGCTTCATATAGATGTAAAAGAGTAATGGAGAGAGTACCAGTACACCAAAAAGGAGCAGCTGTGGGCTGGATCTCACTACCTATCAATACTGATTGGGACCAGCCTTGTAGAAAGGAGCCAAACAATCCCAAAACCCTGCAGACAGCCAAAAAGTATCATGGTCAATGATACTAAAGGCTGCTGTGGGGTCAAGGAGAATAATGACGCTTGCAACACCCCAGAGTACTCTTGACAGAGGTCATCAAATGCAGCCAATACTGTTCCATAACTGGGCCTGAATCTTTTTTTATCCAGAATCCTTTGAAACTACCAAGCAATTACTTTCTCTACCACCTTTCCTAAAAAGGGAAGTTTGGAAACTGGATGAAAATTGTCCAGATAGGTGGGATCAAGAGAGTTCTTTTAGGAGGGGGCAAACCAGAGCCTCCTTAAAAAGCCCTGGGAATATTCTCTCCCACAGTGAGAAATGAATCAGTATCTAAATCCCCTGGCAATCCCCATCCTGGAGGCTTTTATCAGTCAGGAGGGGCAAGGATCTAATTGACAGGTGGTTGTAATGATAGCACCAAGGAACCTGTCTACTTCATTGGTCCAACAGGATCGAACTATTCACAGATAACTGGATAAGATCTTTCCCCAGGCATCTCATATGGACCAGTACCACTCATGGCTTCCAATTGGGAAAAAAGCTGAGTGACTTTGTCAGGTGTTGAATAAATTCCTCTGCACAACCCTGAAGATGATGATCTGAGCCCCACTGTCCCAGGAAGGATTCTGAACAGGGTCACTAGGAAAAACTGCAGATGCAATACGGGAAGAGAAATAATGTTTCACCACTCTTACCACCACAAGATAGGCCTTAATGTCAGTTTTAAGTTGTTTTCCTCCAGCAGTGCTCTAGGCATTTCTCAATTCTTTTCAAAACTTGCAGCTCCCCCATAGGGAAAGGCAGGCACAAAACTACTCCATAGGGAGGCTCCAAGGGTCTAGAGAGGCTCCCCAGGAGTGATCCAGTCCAAAGCCTCAGTTGCCCTTTGATTTTAGAATGTTACTAAGTGCAGCAACTCCCCCCTCCCCCAGTTCAGATCCATCAATACTACCTTATACTAGAAACAGCACTGTTTGGAAGCTACATCTTCAGGCTTTGAAATATCAAAAACTGGTATATAAATGATTACAGTGTTCTTTCCAACTGGGGTAAAAATGCTGCTACAAAACAAGGGTGGTGATGAAAGAATTGGAGCTCAGCAGTGAATAAGAAAATTGTAAACGTATTTCTGCAGGTTTCTCAAAGTTCATTAAAAGTCCCCCAATAGGCCAGAAGCTATAGCAAATGCTCTGTTTTTTTTCAGCTCTCAATTTCTGTATCTTTGATTATTTCTTTCAACAGTTGTAATCATATTCTATTGCTGTCTATGTGTCTTTATTAAATATAATAATCTATTTTTAGTTTGCTTTTAAAATATTGGAGGAGGGCATTCTTGTAATATTGATGAATAGGGGAGGTATATGTGGGATATTGGATAGATCAATTAAAACCTTTGTTTCTTATATAGCTACAGTCTCAACTAGAAACTAAAAACCAACAATTTCTAGAACAAGAGAAAACAATGTCCATTTTCCAGCAGGATATTTTATATAAACAACATCAGCTTGAATCATTGGATCGACTATTAATAGAAAGCAAAGAGGTAGCATTTTTGAATAATTAACGGTTCTTGGGATTTGGATTGGATTGCTTGAAAGTTACTACTTGCAAATTGTTTCCTTGCTTTTTAGCATCTGAAAAGCAATTTGAGAGTCACCGTTAATACTAGGAAGCTTTGTACTAACAACCTTCAGATGCAATTTCTAATTAAAAATTATAAAATAGCAGTAAAAGACCATATTTCTAGATTTGAAATAGTTACTTGTTCAGTATACTGGTTCAAGCTTTCATGATTGGTATTTGTTGGGAAGTGTTTAGCTTCAGAGTTTACTGACAATGCTCTAGACAATAGATTTTTTTGATGTTTTGCCAGCAACTATGGCTGATCAGCATTCCAAAAACGATCATTAAGAAGCTGGAATGAACAAAGGTCCAATCAGGATACTATGCCACCAGAATGGCCAATCAGAATTGGGCATAAACAGAGACTAGTTCTCATGAACCTGCACCAACCTGGATCCAGCTCATCTAAATTGATCAGTTAACCTAGCTATAAAGTTAGGAGCCTGGTCAGCCCCTACTCAATTGCATAGCTAACTACCTTGCCTCTGAAGATGCCAGTCACAGTTGCCCATGAAGTGACAAGATATCTTCTGTTCAGAGTCTAGACCATACTCACAGTCCTGAAGTTCAGTACTGCCCAACAGTCACTTGTTCATTGGATTAGCTAAATATATTGTTCATGTTTTATTTTATGAACTTGCAAACATCTTAACAGATGGCAGAATCTTGCCAAACTTAACCTGGGCTCAGAAGTTAAATATGATTGTGCCTGGATAAGATTTGGATAGGAGATCATCAGGAAATGTCAATGTATTGGCTACCTTGGGATGTTAAAATACATCCTGGAAGGAGATCATGGCAAACCATGTCTGTATAATGACAAAACTGTGTTCATGTAATTGAGCTCAAATGATGGCAACTTTTAATAGTATCTTGATATGACTAGATGAATTATGATTTCTTACTATCTTCATTCCCATTGCTTCCATCAAAAAATCTGAGATGCTTCAGTCAAGCAAGCAGTATTTTATAGATAAGGCAGACTCTTTTCTATTGTTTGAAATGTTCTTGAATTTATAAGCTGTTGGAGCCCCCATATCCTAATGGCATAACTATTTGATTGGTGCTAGAAATTAGATAGATGCCTGAAGGATGAAAACCTGAAAACAAAAGACTTGGGAGGGGAAACAATAAAATTATGCAAAATGGAAGGAAAGCCTAGAAAATGAACCTAATCCAAATGTCTTAGAACAGCATACCTGCAGATTTTTCTTCTATAGAAAAACATGTGACACTCAACTTGCTTGAGAATTTATAATCATATCAAAAATATGATAGAAAACTCCAGGTTTTTAATAACATCAAATATTCTGTTGATTCTGAATAAAAACAGGAAATGAAAAAACAAAGAACAAAAAAAGATGAAGCTTTAAAGAAATTACAAGACCAATTTGCTGATGAAACTGTCAAGGTTTGTTCTTAGAGCTTCAAGTAGCTTTAAAGTCTCCCCTTATTTTTCATTTTCTTTTGAAAAGAAAAGTAGCAGTAATTCCTTTGCAGTAATTTCAATTTTGGCTTAAATTAATAAGTACTCTTTTAGTCTTTAAAAATATATCTATGAATGGATTATTTCCTTTAAATCTTTAATATTTATTAAATTACCATTTTATGAATTTATTACTACAACTATTATTATTGTTCAAATAACTTAATACTAAATGTAGCACTCAATTTTTCAGGACTACCAAGGATTCCAGAATCAATTAAAAAAACCCTCCCCTATCATCAGGGCTTACAAAATAGGAAACAGAAGGAAAAAAGAAAAGGGGGGAGGGGGGGGCAAATAGCCATCATGTGTTAGTGTGTTTATAATAATCACCTGAGATGAAAACCATTCAAGGATAGCAAGAGCCAAATGTAGTTTTTTTCTTAGTATAGCTAATAAACTAGACTTGTTTCTAGCAGATAGTCTTTCTTCACTGCTATGTTTTCTTCTGTTTTATTAGGTCAAACATTTACAAAAAGCGTTAGAAAGCTGTAAGCAAGATATAGCTTTGTATTTAGAACATTTAGAAGAAAATAAAGTGTTGTTTGAAAAGCAATTGGAGAAAAAGTCTGAAGAGGTAAACATGCTCTTTTTCATCTTGCTCCCCAGATAGTCTTGCTATGTTATATTTGATACACAAAAAATAGGATTTTATTTTATTAGCTATACTATTGGAAAGAAATTTGAGAGAAACTTCACTGATTTTATAATACAACCAGACCTTAGTAGTCATTAAAGACAAAGAACGTGTTGTTTGGTTATGTGGAAGTGACTCTGAAAAGCAGGATCCATTCGTAATTTTAAGCTAAAGCTTATCTTCAAATATAGCCCGTATTGTAGATTTTTATTTCAATTTATAATAGACTTTAATAAAACTTCAACTTAGCAGTAGCATAGATATATATATTGATAGAGCAGACCATTCTGTTAAACGTGAAGTAGGAAGCTGAAAAACAAATTGCCTTGTTGCAGTCTCATCATATTATTTATTTTTCAGATACAGAGGTTGCAAAAAGAAATAAAGCATAAGAATGACAATCTTCAGTCAACTAGTGAACAAAATCTTGCTCTACAGCAGAGTCTACAGCAGCAGCAGCAAATGTTACATCAAGAAACCATTAGGAATAGTGAATTAGATGACAGCCAAGTATACCTCCAAAAGCAGGTATATTTTTCATGGTAAATATTTTTAAAATGTATGACAAGCACTTATATAGTTCATATTCTGTATTTTCTGTTACCAAGCGTATTTGAAATGAAACAATTTCATCTTATTGTGAAGCATTAAGTTGAATCCAGAGTTTAGCTGAGAGAATTGACTATTTTACCTTTAGAATATATCTTGAAAGAGATTTTCTCTATGGTTGAAGTCCCAATATAATTCTTGAAAGCAAAGCAGTCTCAGCCTCCAGTATAGTTTTTATATGAAATAAAAAAGGCTGGTAATTGTAAACCACTTAATGTTTTTAATTGTTTTCTTCTGCCTACCACAGAAGAAAAAATAAATTTGGGCATGGGAAAAATCTTTTTATCATTTTGCTTTTTGGTAAGTTATTGTTTTGTTGCTGGTGTTATTAAAGCACTTTCCAAATACAGTTGTGCAAAATATTAGGAGATTGAAATATCCCAACTCAGACATTACTGGAAATTATTCAGTGTGAAAAGACTTGGCCCAATCTTACAGAAATATTCCAATCTGAAACAGGCATTTGATTGCAAAAGGCATTTGATTGACAAGGTTGGAAAAGATGATTTTAGAGCTAGGACTTTTTGACATTTTTTTGAGTATTTCTACCTCCAAATTTCAAGTTGCCCATCAGTCCAAAAATTAGCACTTCTATACACTTGTTCACATAAATTTTGGAGATACCCCCAGATGTATATATTTATGCTTATTAGGAATAAACATGAAAACAATTGATTTGGGTATGTATTCTACTGAACCATAGGACTGATTGTTTGAATGCAGCCTGCAGTCCTCCTGATTTTTGCAAGCATAAACTCTAATGCATTGGGACTATTATGCATGGGATATTAAGAGCATATTACTAAGTGATTGCATTGAGATATGCTACCAAATTGTTTAGAATTACAGTGAAATCTCTATTTCCCCCAAAACAGGTATCAAAACTAGAGCAAGAACTTCAAAAGCAGAAGGATATGTTGGAAGAAGAATTGAGAAGAACAAATGAAAGGCTTCATTTAGCCACTGAAGAAAACAATGTGAAACGGCAAAAAATAGCAGAACTTACTGCTACAATCAGGCATAGTCCCATTTTTTAAAATTTAAAAATATGCAATTATTTTTATAAATGTATTGTTTTGGGAGAAAAAAAGGTTTTAGAAACAAAAGTTTATTGCACAATTCTATGCATATACATTTGTTCTATAGATTTTAGTGGAATTTTTCTCAGATTTAAGGGATGTGGTAGCTCAGTGGCTAAGACACTGAATTTGTCGATCAGAAAGGTTGGCAGTTTGAATCCCTAGCACCGCATGACAGAGTGAGCTCCCACTACTTGTCCCAGCTTCTGCCAATTTAGCAGTTTGATAGCATGTAAAAATGCAAGTAGAAAAGTAGGGACCACTTTGGTGGGAAGGTAACAGCATTCCTTGCGCCTTCGGCATTTAGTCATGCCAGCCACATGACCAGAGATGTCTTTGGACAGCGCTGGCTTTTCGGCTTTGTAACGGAGATGAGCACTGTCCCCTAGAGCCAGACTAGCACATATGTGTGAGGGGAAACTTTACCTTTACCTTATTCCCAGATTAATATATGAAGGCATTTCAAATGTACTTATTTGTGTATTTGTTTATTTCTCCATTTATATTGTGCTGTTTTTCATGACTCTAAATAGCTTACACTTAAAGGTTCAGATGTAGTTCCCATTTTTTTATTATTGACTCTGGATACTTTGTAGACCTGTAAACATGCTATTGTTTTAATTATTCATTGAGGCATGGTATATTTGCTTCTTTAGGCAGATTAAACAAGAGATGGATCAGTGTAAAGATGAGTTAATAGACATGGAGAAAGAATTAGTGCATTTAAGAAGAGACGGTCATAGTAAAGCGACGCAGCTGAGCCAACTGGAAATTACTTTACAGCAGAGAATCTCAGAATGTAATAAAAAGACACATCAAGGTAAGCTTTTCATTATGCTTTCAATTTTTTTAAAGTAGAATTAAACTTTTGGTTTTAAACATGAAGCGGTACTTCATAGAGATAATGGAAATAGAGTATTTCCAGTTATTATAATATGGCCAATTAATATTTTTTCCAGAATCCTTTTCTTGGAACCTAGTCTATTAAATTTAAGGATAGGCAAACAGTTTAGTTACTCCCAAATAATATATTTTACTTTTGCTCCTTTGAAAAGTGTTTTATGGTGATTGCTGATATTTAAGTTGTGTTCTTCATTTTGGAATAGCCTGAAGGATAGGGTAGAAACTTAAAACTGTATTGTGTGTAAATGCATACATGCATTGTCTGGCTAAACATTCTTGATTGCTTTTTTCTATTTGCACAAAAGTGAAAGAATTAGAAGATAAGCTGCTTATAAGTGAGACCCAGCAAAAAGATTCCATACAGAAAATAGAATCTCTAGATAATGACCTGAAAAACACCACTGGGGAGTTAAAAACTACTTTGAGACAACTGCAAGACCTTCGGGATACATTACAGAATGCACAGATATCCCTAGAGGAGAAGTATACTACTATCCATGATTTAACAGATGAATTAAGGTGTGTTAATAAGCATCCCAAAAATGGACCAGTGTAACAAACTACCATAGTAGCTTCTGCAGGTGGTGTACCTACTCAAGCTTACCTGATCTTAAAAACCTAGCATAGTTGGATCTGTTTAGCATTTGGATGGGAGACCTTAACTTAAGGGAATTCCAGGGATGTATGCTCATGTGCAACAAACATCAAGGAAGAAAACTGTGTGAAATTATTTTTGTGCTTCTGCCCCAAAATTCTTCAGGGATATTTACAAGAGCTACCAAATTTTTATCTCAAATCAAGAGAGTCTTTATTTTTCACCATTACAAATTAATAAATTAGAATTCTTATTTCAAAATTCATTGCCAGCATTTTGTTAACTGAAATACATCTTGAATTTACTTTTATTTATTAACAATGAATTGCTAACATAACTTGTGTTTTGAATGATTTAGTTGCCTTAAAATCACTGCATTGCTGAATTTTGAAGCAAAATAGCTTTAACTGTCCTTCAAGCTATTTCCCAAATGTAGGAAAGTACAAAGCTAAATATGAAATTAGGATAATAAAATGCAGGTATTATCTACTCCCTCACATAAAAGGGAATAATATAAAACAAAGAAACAAAATAGCATATAATGTATTGGCTAATTGTGCCTTATTTTGATACATGGAAAGCAACAAAAAAGCCTGTTAGATGTATAATTTATCTGAGACACAAGTGTGCAACAAAAACAAAAATATGCTATTAATCTTCATTATTTAGAAATAATCATTTGATCATTTAATTTAGAATGGGTTAATGCTAAATATGAGAATCCATAGACTCAGTACATGAGTCTGTACATAATGATTTACAAAATGTAGGTCATGTGTAGAATCAGAATACTAAACTTTTATATTTAATTCTCAGCATTTTGTAAGTACCAATAGAAGAGATTGTGTGTAGCTTTAGTGCTTTATAAGTACTAAATATTAAAATATGTATGAGTGGCATGGTGGCCTAGTGGTGAAGATGCTCACCTCCCACTCAGAAGGTTGAGAATTCAGTCCTAGGTAGAGGCAACTATTTCTTTCCTAGGGTGCAAAGAAAAAATATCTGGCTAACTCCATGTAAGCAACAGGAAGGGCATCCAGCCAGTAAATGCTCAGCTCCATCCAGTTGCCCCAATTCTACCCCAAATAGAGCATACAGAGTCATTAAAAAATCAGTTGTATTTATTAATCTTTCATATTAAATATTATGTGGTTTTAATATGATTAACTACTCTGGTTTTTGTACTATAAGACACTCCAGACCATAAGCTTTGGGGAGGAAAACAAGAAAAAAAAATCTGCCTCTGCCTCCTAGCAATTTGCCTCCTTGCAGCAAACAAACTCGTCAGCTTCAGCATAGCCTGATTTAGCACGAACAGCTCATTGGCAGTTGGATCAGCCTCCCAGAATACCACCAATCAGCTGTTCCAGGCTGCAGGGATCACCGCTGCCACACACCCCATTTTCAGTCCGTTCCAGGCGGCAGGGATCGCCGCCACCTATAACGGGCCAAAAAAGGGATGCATGGAGGCCGAAAATGCAGTGCACGGAGGCAGCAATAGGCAGTGGCAGTGATTCCCACAGCCTGGAACAGCTGATTGGTGGTATTCTGGGAGGCTGATCCAGCCACCAGTGCTAGCACCAGCTTGTGCTAAATCAGGCTATGCTGAAACTGACCAGGCTGTTGGCTGTTTGCTGCAAAGAGGCAACTTGCTGGAAAGCAGAGGCGGAAGGGTGGGGGCTGATGGGTAGGTGGGGCTTCGGCAACATTCGCTCTATAAGATGCACAGAAATTTCCAGCCACCTTTTGGGGGTGGGTGGGTGGGGAGTGTGTCGTATACTATGAAAAATTCGGTCTATTCACCCAAAATTCAATGTCAACTTAACAAAGCTATACTACAATTTCTGCTTATAGATTTGGCTGTGTTTTTTCCTTAGTATTTATGAGTAACACAGATTGAATAAGTTACTTCAAAATAAACATAAAATTAGGGTGTAGAAGAATTGGATGAGGATAATTAGAATTTAACTTCCCTAATAGAGAAAATATTTCTCATTTTTAAATGAAAATGGCAGAGAATGCAAGGATGAACTTGAAGAGAAAAAGCAAGAACTTCTTGACATGGAAAAAGTGCTGAAAGAAAGAAATTGGGATTTGAAACAAAGAGCAGCTCAGGTTAGAAGAATATGTAAATTTAATAAGCTTTTAAGAATGATTGGGACATTATTAGTAAATATATTTGGGGTGCATATTTTCATTAATGTTCCACAATTTTAGTGTGTACAGGTAATCCACAACATAACCATTTGTTTAATGATGGCTTGAAATTACTACAGCTTTACAAAGAGATTTATAATCCATTGGCTTCCATTTGCAACAGCTGTAGTGTCTTGCAGTCATGTGGTCGCAATTTGCAACCTTCCAGCTGGCTTTTAAAAGTCAACTGGGGAAGCCAGAATCACTTAACAACCATGTGATTTGCTTAGCAGTTGTGGTAAAATGGTCACAAAATTGGGTCTTGTCACATGATGACTCGCTTAATGGCTGCATAATTTAGCAATCAAAATTCAAGTCTCAATTGTGGTCATGAGTTGAAGTTTACCTATAATATTTGTTTCTGTTTTAATATTTTGTCTTTCCTTTTTTAAAAGGTTACACAGTTGGATATGTCAATTCGTGAATACAGGGGAGAAATGGAACAAAAAATAATTACATTGCAAGGTAGCTTGGAAAAAGCTGAGCTGCAGATAAAAGATTATAATAAACAGGTACTGTTATTGTTCAAAATGCTTTTTAAAATAATTGCTTCTAGTTGCTTACTTTCCACAAATGCCTGCTGTGAAGAATTTTAACTCTTCAAAGGGTCATTCTCTTTATAACTTACTTGCTTACATTTTGCTATCAGATTGAAAGTTTGGCAAGCAAGGCACAACGTTCAAAAGAGGAGCTTCAAGAACAAGAGTATAATATTCTTCAACAAGATCAAGAGATAAATCATCTTAGAAAAGAGAATGAACAAAAGCAGCAAAGAATAACAGATACTGAGAAAGTAAGTTTCTCTTGTCTATTGTTTTCTCGGTCTTTTTCAATATTCCAGGTTTCTAATCTAACCAGTTACTTTAAATAATACCTTATCAATAATATATGACAAGGAATAATATTGCCTTATCATAAAAAAGATTATTGTTTGAAGTATGTTCCACTAAAGTCATTGAAGCTTGCTGAAATATAGTTTGTTTACTTTTCCATGAGAACATGCCAGTATTTTTGCATTTAATTTTCTGATATTGCTGATTTTTTCTTTCCCTTTAGAGATGTTTGTATACATATCTGCCAACAAAGAATACTGCTCCATCTGGCTGATTATTTTAACGCTGTCTAGAACTGTTTTTCAGACAGCAGATCTAATTTTAGGATAATAAATAAAAACTACTAAAAATGAAATAACAGGAAGACATAAGATTCTTAGTATGTAAAAAAAACCACTTTTCTCTTTTTAGAAGCTGAAAGATCAAGAAAGGCGTATTGCAGAACAGTATAAAGAAATACTTGATTTGGGGCAACAGTTGAGACTGGAACGTGAAGCAATGAAACAAGTTCATGTGGATCTATTAGAGAGTCGTCGCCAACAGGCTCAAGCTCAGAGAGATGTGGACAGGATCTCTCTTGAACTGGAAGAAGTGAACCATATCTCACATGAAAAAGTAACCAATTTTACAGATTAATTTTATGAGAAATCAACTATCCCAATGCAATATTCTTTCCAGTGTCAGTTTAATGCAGGGGTCTTCAAACTTGACAGCTTTAAGACTTGTGGACTTCAACTGCCAGAATTCCTCCTCCAGTCATGTTAGGAATTCTGGGAAGTCCACAAGTCTTAAACTTGCCAAGTTTGAAGATCCTTGATTTAATGTGTAGAGCATGGTTCAGAGCACTTTCAAATGGGGAAAGACAAAAGGTTAAAGCTAACCAATATTGCTAGGTCAGTTTGAAAATGATGTAAAACAAATATTTCAGACCCCAGGTGAATACTTTTCTTAAACTTGTGGAGAAAACCTGAAAGGGGTCTCGTTATTTTAATGAATATCAGAGAAGTGCTTGAAACATTAATAACAAAAAATGTTTCAAAAATAGCTGTAAATATGTTTTCTTGATTCGTACTGGAAAATTAGTAGCGATCGTCTATATAAACGAGATATTTTGGTATTGCTTAAAATATTCTTGTTTTTAATAATACTAATATGTTAATATTTCTAAGAAAATATGGCAAGATATATTGATTTTGTGTTGGGGCATAATTCTCTTTCAGGAAACCCGTGTAAATAATTTGGCAGAACAGTTGGGAGCAGCTCAGGTGCGAGAAACTGAGTTAGAAGCAAGGATGCAAACTGAGATTAAAAGGCTCACTGCAGAAATACATTTGCTAAAACAGTCTTTCTTATCAGAGGTGAGAACAAAATTGGCTCTTTTCCATACCTTCAAATAATTTATTCTGTACCAAGTGCGTATGAAATAATTTCAAATCAGTTGGTGCCCTTTCTCAAAAGTTATGAACTGAACATTGATAAACTATTTAAGCACCACGGATATGCATAATACCAACAGCTACTATCCTATGGCATACCCTAGCCATGGAATAACTTGCTGCTATGGTTGAGGATCGTTCTTTTTGTTAAGTTTTTTTGTTAAGATTTAATAGTTTAGATTGCATCGTATATGGATACTTGCTAGCTACTTGAAACTATACATTGAGAATGAATAAGACATCCATTTTTTAAAATTTACATTTATTTGTTGAAATAATAAAGCCAGAAAGGAGCCATTTTGGTCTAATGTTAAGGCACCAGGATAGAAATCAGGAGACTGAATTCCAGTCTTGCCTTAGACATGAAAATTGTCTGGGCCAGGCACTCTCTCAGCCCAACTCATCTCACAGGGTTGTTGGAATAATAGGAGAAGGAACAAGTATAGTATGATCACTGCATTGAGCTATTTATAAAAATAATAAAGGCATGATAAAAAAAAACTATTTAAAAAAGTCACTGCAATGGGGACATGTTCATTGATTTAGTGTGGATTTAACAGTAATTAAGAGTATTTGTGAAGTCTTGTGTATCTAATCATATTTGGCCAATAAAGAATTCTAATTCTATTTGCAAATTTTTGCAGTATTTATTTTAAAACATTTAAAAAGTGAAATACAAAGAACTATATCACCAATAAAATATAGTAATGATATGATTAAAATTATAGTAATTAAAAGAAATAAAATCTAATGGGAAAATTGTATAAAAATCAATATATCTATTTAGTATCAGTAGTTAATTAGTTGCTTTCTTAAGTTTATCATATAGAACTATATGGCTTCATCTTCTCATTTTTAGAACATAAAGACTTTTCAAAAATAGTAACAAATTCACATCCTGAATCCATTCCTTAATATCAGGAGAACAAGTTACTTTCCACTGATGTAAGGTTATCCTCTTTGCTGAGTGCCAGACATGGAAGAGCCAATCATGTTCTTAAAATGAAAATTTCAAACAGAACTGCTACTTAAATTTGTATTAATTTTGAAATATTGAAAAAAATGTATTTGAAATATATTTTGTCTTCAGAAACTTTCCCATGAAGAAGAACAGACAAAATGGCAGCAGTCACTATCTAAATCTCATCATGTTAATGGGCAACTACAACAGATCAAAATGGAACTGGATGATGCTCAAGACACTGTTTATAATCTACAACAACAGCTTCAGTCCAGAGATGATACGATTCAAACAACCAATGAAAAGTTGCTTCTTAAAGTGAGTTAAGAAAGGAATATTTGTATTCGATATAAGGTTGTCATCTCAATTCATTTTATTGGAACTTGCAATACATGTCTGTTATCACTGAAATCTGTACTCTGGATGGTACTCATTCCTAGCTATTACGAAAACTTTGGATTAAGAGAGTGGAGGAAAAAATAAACATTGTAAAGTATTGTTGTTGAAGGAGATTGTTGATAGTATTAATCCTTATGAACTGTGTTTTGGATAGTTATTTTGGAAGGCCAAACTTAACAGAGAACATGATAGCAAAGAAACCTGCATTTATTGTGTTAGGGAATTTAATGGCAAAAAGACATGTGGTTTGCTTCCTTCAGTTTGCTATTTTTAAATACATACCATATTTTTCAGACTATAGGATGCTCCGAAGTATAAGACGTACCTAGCTTATGGGGAGGAAAATAAGGAAAAAAATCTGCCTCTGCCTTTCAGCAATTTGCCTCCTTGCAACAAACAGCCTGGTCAGCTTAAGCAGACTGATTTAGCACAAGCAGCTGATTGTAGGTTGGATCAGCCTCCCGACGATCAGCTGTTTCAGGCTGCAGGGATCACTATCGCCTATTGCCGCCTCTGTACACCCCATTTTCAGCCTCTGCATCCTATTTTCAGCCTTGTGCACCCCGTTTTCAGCCCATTCCAGGTGATAGGGATCAGAATGGGCCAAAAATGGGGCAAATGGACGCCAAAAACTGTATCTGGAGGCTGAAAATGGGGCACACAGAGGTAGCAATAGGCGATGGTGATCCCTGCAGCCTGAAACAGGGAGGCTGATCCAACTGACAATCAGCTGCTTGTGCTAATCAGGCTGCGCTGAAGCTGAGCAGGCTGTTTGCTGTAAGGAGGCAAATTGCTGGGAGGCAGAGGCCGAAGGGTGGGGGCTGCTGGGTGGGTGGGGCTTCAGCAGCATTTACTGTATAAGACACACAGACATTTCCACCCACTTTTGGGGAAGGGAGTTTGGGGGGGTGGAGTACATTTTATGCATTGAAAAATACAGTAATACATGGATTTTGAACCACAAAGGAATCAACTTCTCTAAAGTTAAAGGAGAATTGTCATTACATATGTGATGACCCGGGGCGTGGCACAAAGGCAACACAGTCAGATAATCAGTAGGAGTCCCTTTATTAGATCCAACTTTGCCCCCAATGTCCTGGTTACCTTCTGGGCTGGAGAAAAATTCTCCCAGGAACAGGCTTTGGTTGCAGAAAATCAAGTCCAAAACGTGGTCAACAGAAACTGTAACTATAAGTCCAGTCAAGGCAAGATGAGGTAATTAGTCCGGCAGGGCAAGAGAAGGAATTCCAGATGTGAAGGAACGGCAGTAATTCAACCCAGTTGGGAGGATGCCAGAAACACAGATAACCAAAATCAACACAAGATAAACTCATGTTTGTTCCCAGCCGATGCTGCACTCAGCTTGCATCTCTTTTAAACTCATTCCCAGATGTTGCTCATGAAGGGAATCAGGGCCCTTTCCTTCCCCCTAAGTCACGCAACCCATGTTGCTCTCTTCTCCATTCCTCCCTGCATGTCCTAGGATGAAGAGGGTTGGGTGGGCTTGGGTCTTCCTCTGTACTCCCTCTCCCTTGTTCTATCTCACCCTGCTCTGCCCAGCCAGACTTTGCCCTTCCCCCGTTTCCTCCACAGCCAACAGAGCCACACTCCCACTCCCTGTCAGATGTTCGTCTTCCTCCTCAGATTCAGATTCTGACAGGGGCATGACAACTGAGCCCATCTCCAACAGGGGCATGACATGCTGAGCCCATCTCCTCTTTTTTGAGATCTGAGAGCCTATCTCACTTCATAATATAAAATATCAGTCAGAAATAATTAAACTGGGTAGTGGAAGCCAGTTCTTTCAATTGCAGAGAGTTGCTCAGCATGTCCAACTCAGTGCAGGGATTCAAATTAGCGCACCCTCAGTAGATGGCTACTTAGGCTCTTCTTGAAGACATCCAGTAAACACTTAATTAAATAATTGGTTCTAGTATCAAACAGGTTTCCCTATTTAAAGAATGTTTTCTAAAGTATAATGCTGAGAATTGTCCCCAGCACTTGAAGTGCAATAAGGCGGAATAAAATGGAACTGTGATTTTAAAACTATTATTTTGTTGATGTAGCCTAAAACCAAATGTATCTTTTTTTGCAATTTCATTCTGCTGCTTCAAGTTTAGTTTGGAATTAACTACTATTCAGAAATCTTATGAATACCAATGAAGCTTTTAAGATCTTTTGCTGAGCGTATTCTGCAAATAAGCCTTTCTCAACTGGAGTTCCATTGAATCCGAGAGTTCTGCAAGAGGTTAAGGGTTCTTTCAAGATATTGTGATTGAAAAAGACCATTTTTTGAACTTTGCATATTATATAATGCTAGCACTTGCAATGGTGGGAATTTTTACATGTCACAATGTAACAATCTGGTCTGAATTATATTAGGTAGCTTTTATATTTTTTACAATTTTTATGCAAGAGTTTTATGAGACTTGACGATTGTATGAACTGCTTTTATTGAGTAAAAGGTTTGAGGAAAAACGGCTTATTCTACAGTAAGGCTCCCTGTTAGGAGTAAGGCTCCCAATTTATTTGTTGCCTTTTAATCTCAGTTGGTCACTAGTAAATCTTTTACTTCACTGTGTCATCATTATCTCCTTCTGTTATTCAAATATCATTTCAGATAATTGCTTAATAGCCTGTAGAAATAGTATTGGAGATGCTTTGTTTAATAAGAATCAAGCCATGCATATATAATGTATATATATAACATTTTTATTAATCAGAAATACTATCAATATTTTTATTAAACAAGTAGCTTTTGTTAAGATGATCCCTGATCACTTCATTTCTACAAAGCTTTAAATCTCTGTTGCAATATAGGAATCTGAACTTACAAGATTACAAACAAGAATTGCAGTTCATGAAAGAACAGCAAGCATCAAGCAACTAATAGAACATCATTGGTCTGATGATCAAGGACTTGACTTTGCCAAGCATTCCACTTGCAGAAAACTACGGCGTTCAACAAGCACCAGTGATCTAAATATTAAGGACAATAAAAACATACTAAGTCAAAACCAGACAGTTACACTACACTCTTCAGTGAGTTCTGAAATGTCAAAGTATATATCTCATGCTTCATCAAAGAGTTTGAATGAGTCTTCCTTTGATCCTTTGACATACAATGTAGACGAAGAAGTAACTTGTAACAGTAATGACTTTCAAACACTCAGTGGCATGCTGAAGTATATCAACAAGGAGATAAAGGATTCTGAAAATTCTTCACTATAATTTTTATCTGCTGTAAAGAAAAATCAAGTATGTATTTCTGTATCTAATATTTCCTAGGTAAATGGAGTACCATATACCTTGTCACTGAAGTAACTTTTCATGCAAATATTGTTACCTTTATAAATGTAAACAGAGTAATTTCTAACAAAGAGAAATTAACTGAAGTTAAATAAACAATTTGCTCCCCAAAAGGCCCAGTGCAATAATGAAAATAAAACAATGAAAAAAAAACTAAAATGGAGCTGTCATATTTCTAGAATATTTAGTACATTGAAGTCCTTAATATTTTACAGGTAGTCCTCGACTTATGACGACAGTTGAGACCATTTTTTTTATTGCTAAGTGAAATATTTGTTAAATGAATTTTGCCCTACTTTATGGCCTTTTGTGCCATAGTTGTTAATTGAATGCCTGCAATTGTTAAATTAGTAACATGGTTAACTGAATCTTGACTTTGCCCTGTGAGAAGGTCACAAAAGGTGATTACATGACATCAGGACACTGCAACAGTTATAAATGAGTCAATTGCCAAACATCTGAATTTTGATCGAGACTGGGGATACTGCAATAGTCAAGTGTGAAAAATGGTCATAAGTCACTTTTCAGTGCTGTTGTAACTTTGGTCACTAAAAGTACTGTTATAAGTCGAGGACTACCTGTATTTACTATGTTCAGCGACATCGAATTAAAGATGTAAGAAAATCACCATACGTCTATTTTCTCAGAATTAAATTCTATGTTTTGGAGAGCCTTTTTCCAAGGATTAGAAATGCAATGAATGTGAGAAAGGAATGTGCAAAGAATTAGTTTAAATATCAATAGATGTTTATAGCAGTAACTCAAATGTTGACCTTAGTTGTGTCAAAGAATTCTTCAAATCATTTTACTACAGGTAGTCCTTGCCTTATGACAACAAGCCTGGAATTTGGGTTTTAAATTATTAGTCATAAATTGAGTCGCCATGTGGTTGCACTTGATTTTATGACCTTTTTTTGCAGTGGTGGCTAACTGTATCACCGTTAAGTGATTCAAACATAGTTGTAAATCTGAATCCAGCTTATCCAATGGGTCTTTTTGCAGGAAAAGGCAAAAAAGTCACAAAACCTGATCATGTGACTGCAGGACATTGCAACCAATCAAATATGAGCTGGCTCCCAATGGCATGTCATTAGAGAGCATGAGTGGGTTATACACTTGGCAAAATTGAATATATTTTGACAACTACAAATTTCTGGAGGTTAGAGACTATAGAAATGATGGATGAAGGATGGGACCTTGGTTCTGTTTTGCAATGGATTTTTTTTATTTATAAAGTTATGTTTGATGATATGCTGTGACGCCTTTCATAACTGACTCACTAGAGATGTTCTTTTTTTTTTAATCAGTGAGGAGTATTGTAGTATTGTAGCCCCCAGTGTGGTCCTTATGTGGCTCTTATGACATTTTGAATTTGAAATCCTTCCTATTGTCTTGTAGAATCCTGTACAGAGAGTTTATTATATAATTCATGGCTAGCAAAAGACAATCATTCCATAAGATTGCAGTACATACATATAACGATGTCAAAATATTGCATTTCACTGAAATTAATTTGTAAATTCTGAGCTTCTGAGCTCTTTTGATTTTAGAGAAAATACTTTTAAATATGTACAAACAACATCTCCTAAAATCTCAGAAACCAGAGGTATTGCTGAAGTAAAAATTTCCATCTAGGAAAATTGTATATCGCACAGTGCTTTCTTTAACAACAACTTGAGGTCTGACTGAATTTCATTATACAATATTCATTTTAACTGAAAATATGTTTATTTCAGGAAGAAAGTTTCTGAAGAAATAAGTGTGCTGGCATGCAACTGACCACAGATGGATTTATGGGCACGGCATGGAGTTCATAAGAACAGTTTATAGAAACCACAAATATAATTATTTTTAGTAACTTTCCACCGAAAATTATTTTCTGTGCTTTTTCAGTATTTATATTATTTCTTACACTAGTAATGTTTTTTATTATGTTTACTAATAAAGTAAAATCCATAAAAATCCTTTTTTAAACAAAACTTTTCATTAAACTTTAAAATTTCAGCTAACCCCATAATTTATAACCAAACAGATCCTATAAAATTGTCCTACATTTAAAAAATGCTACTTGTAATGATAAACGGCATAATATGTATAGAATGCATGATTCTGAATGGAAGTTTATAGCCATGTACATTTGTCTGCACATAAAACTTATACACCATTAGCTCAGGGGTAGGATTTAGCCAGTTTGGACGGGTTCAGGTGAACTGGATGTTAATTTTATGTCTCGTTCAGCAAACCTGTTGTTCTGACAACTGGATGGCCCCGTCCCACCTCTCCCAGGCCATGGTGCAAGAGGCCAACTAGGTCACACCCACCATGGCCATGCCCACCCAGCAGCCAGGCAGAGAACCGGTTGCTAAAATTTTTGAATTCCTCTCTCGCATTAATTAGCTGACACACTATTGCATGACTGATCAAAAGAAGGACATACACATATCCCTGCTGGGATCATTCATACCTGGTGGGAAAGCCCATAGGCAGGATCTGGCCGGCGGTGTGCTTAGATCTGGCTTGCAGTGCCGCCCTGGAAACAGTGAAGGACCAGCCCACAGTGCCTCTGCCAGCGAAGCTCCATTTTTGCTGGCAGAGTGCTCGGGTCACCACAGGCACCGCAACATTAGTTATGTCCAGCTGGCCATGGCCACCCCTCCCCCCCCCAAGGTCAAACACAACCCTGATGCGGCCCTCAATGAAATCAAGTTTGACACCTCTGCCTTAGAATTTTTAAGCCAGCTACTTTTCTTTCCCGTTCAGCTTATCTCATATTTTGGGGGTTAAATGAGAGAATGTATTTTGATGTAAAGGCATGAAATAAACATGTGATTATAAGGAAATCAAGGCTTCTTATAAAAAGCTGCACATGCACTGTTATATCTTACAGCTGCTGCTAAGAAAGTTGCTTCTAGTTCCCTTTCAGGGGACCCTTTTTCCTTGGTGCATTGAAGCAATACCAAAAACTATGTGCTGGGGTACTTGTCTATCCCATGGGCAGGTATAATAGCTTTTATTGAGTTCTTTTTTTTAAAAAAAAAGCAACCTGTTTTCTTAATAACTTGACTCTTAAGATTATTTATAAAAGAAATTGCACAAGTGCAATAACGTATCACAGAAAATAACATTCAAGAGTTGTAACAAAACATTTTTCCTATTATGTCACCCTTATTTTATCCCCAAAGTCAGCCGAACTCTTATCATATATGCCCCATCTCGACAGAATAGTCCGTGCAGTAGAATCTATCTGTTTACTACCTAGCACTAAAACTCTTCTCTAACTCTTTTAATGGGCAAAACGTGAGCAAGAATATTTAACTATTTACCTGCTGCTGATCTCCGCTTACATTTTTGCTTTGCTATTAAGTCTGAATAGTTCTAAGACAATGAGACAGAAAAACATGAAAACTAGCAGGCAGCAAACCCCACATTCACTCGCACTGATGATGCTATCTATTTGGGTAAGGGAAACATCTGCAAACGAACAACTTAGTTGAGGAAGCATCAAGAGCTCAAAAATGACTGCGATCGAGCAACATAGTGTCACTGCGCATGCGTAATGAATCCACCTCTGGGAAATTCGCGGGCTAAACGTTACCTCACTACAAGTCAAGTGAAATAGAAACTGAGCGTTCTCGGGCCACACGCCACACCTTAAAAAAAAAAAAACACCTCGCACTGAGGTATATTGCCTTCCCGTTAAAAAAAAAAAGGCGCTTCCGTTCTAAACCGGAAGCGGAACTAGGGTGGGCCACGAGAAGCGCTTCCGGTGAAAGTGGCGTGCGCCGCTGCCGCCGCCGCCACCAACTAGGGCTGGTCGTCTGTCGCAAGTTTTGTCCTCGTTCTTGGTGCTGCGTTGCGGGTCTGGCTGAAAGGAGCCAAAAGAAGCAGGGTGGCCGGCGCTGCGTGACCGGAGAGGTTCCCCGACGGGCCAAGGCCAGGAGGGGTTTCCTTGCGTTGGGCGTGCGTGGGGATAGCGGCAGCGGCTGCAGCAGAAGAGCCGGAGGGATGTGGCGGAGGCAGCGCTGATGGTTGTCGTCGTTGGGACTCTGGCACTCGAGAAGGAATTCGGCGGCGCCTTCCGCCTGGGCTCGAGGAACGCTTTGTGGCCGCGGAGGGCGACCCTCCCTGCATTGTGCCCTCCCGGCGTCTTGTGGCTTCCCGTTTCCTTTTCTGGGTCGTTCCGGCCGCCTCCCGAACCTGGTAGAGCCGGTGTTGATTTCCCGATCGATCCAGAATGGCTTCTTCTTCGGGCAACGACGACGATTTGACCATCCCGCGGGCGGCGATCAATAAGATGATCAAGGAGACGCTGCCGAGCGTGCGGGTAGCCAACGATGCCCGGGAGCTGGTGGTGAATTGCTGCACCGAATTCATCCACCTCATCTCCTCCGAGGCCAACGAGATCTGCAACAAGTCTGAGAAGAAAACCATCTCTCCCGAGCATGTTATCCAAGGCAAGAACCTTCGTCTGGCCTTGCTCGTTTATACAGCCACCCCATGATCTATAAAAGGGAGCTTTTAATTTCCCCTCTGTTACGATCTTAGAAACCATGAAGCTATAACTTTTAATTCCCTGAAAGTATTCCCTTCATCTCCCCATCCCTTTTCCCATTAGCCCCATCAATTGAGGTTGTTTCAAATATACTTGGTGTACAGGTGGTCCTCAACTGAACGACTGCAATGGAGCCCTAACGTTTATGGTGCTAAGTGAGAAATTTGTTCAGTGAGTTTTGCCCCATTTTACGACCTTTCTTGCCACAGTTGTTAAGCACATCACTGTGGTTGATAAGGTGGTAATCTGGTTGTTAAATGAATCTGGCTTCCCCATTGACTTTGCTTGTCAGAAAGTTGCGAAAGGTGACCACATGACCTTTGGAACAGCAACGGTCATAAACATGAACCAGTTGCCAAGCATCTGAATTTTGATCACATGAACATGGGGATGCGGCCAAGGCCATCCTTGTGAAAAGTGGTCATAAATCACATTTCTCGATGCCATTATAACTTTGAACAATCATTAAACGAACTCTTGTAAATTGAGAACTACCTGTACTTGCATGAGATGCTCATCTACACTTGAGTGTCTGCCTAATAAAGCTACTTCATTGCACATTCTATCCCTTCAGGCAACTTTGTAACAGTAGAAATCCGACAGGCAGGAGCTGTTTATCTGGAAATGTTTGTACCACTTAGTTGTATTTGAATATATTTGCATGAGAGGCACTTTGCAGATGTCAGCTTAATTCTAAATAAGCACATTTAAAAATGACGTGCCTATGTAGAATTCTGTAACAGTACTAAATTCTGTAATTGGAAAAAGGCATTACTGATTTTTATGCAAGTCTGTAATATTTATTGCTTTGGGGATGATCTAAAAGGAAAAAAGGCTATATGAGGCTGGACAAATACGTTAACAAACAGGAAAGTTTTCTATTCGAGAAGATGGCTAATTATAATTTCCTTTCTGTGACTTTCTAAAAAACAATTTTGTTTTCTCTTGCTTGCCTTCTAACAAAACCGAAGGTTCCTAGTCAAAGAATGTTAATCATGATTCTTTGCTGATTCTCACAGGACATCTTTGAGCAGATGATTAATTCTTAATTATTACTAATTTTTCTAAAAGAAATTATTATGGTGGTTTTTACATTGTATTTAGTGAACAGAAGACAACAGTGAAAGTAACCAAGGTCCTTGTTTCGTTTGGTTAGTTTTTGATAATACTACTTTCAGAATCAAGACATGTTTGCTGCTTTAAGAATAGAAACTGAAAAAGCTGCAAAAAATGAGTGTAGTTTCGCTGTGCTACATTGTGTAGCATTTTTTCTTTTCTTACAGAGATCAGAGATGGAAGGCTTGCAAGGAGACAGACCCTCTCCCATAGCTGGTTCTTGGCTTTCTATATATACTTGTTCTACATCATGTTATTCTAGTATGGCATCAAAACCCTGACTTGGGTAGGTGGCAGCCATGCCTCAAGGATGTTTAGCTGATTTTCCTACACAGCAAACTATTGGCTTAGGTGATTTTTGTGGTCTCTTTCAATTATATAATTCTGTGAGATGCATGTTGAAAGTTCTGTGCTATAGAAAGTTCTATACTAAAACACTATTTTAAGATTTTTATTGTTTTATTTTTCATGGCTTTGAACCTTCCTTCTCCCTCAAAAAATATGTTCTATAGTACACAAAGTGAATTGTATAAATCACTTTGCTTACAACTGTCAAGAAGCGCAAAGATATGCAAGACATAGAAGTTTTGACTGTTAGGATCACTTAGAATGAATCTAAGGTTAGGACTTCTGCAGTACCTAATTTTTCCAACTGAGACTGGTATATGGTATATGTCCAAATTGAGAAATGGATAAAACATGCACATTTCAGCATCCTTTCTATGGTGTCACAGAATGAGAGGTGTAATTTGGTTAAGCTTGGGCATGTAACAAATAGTAGCTATTCAGTTTTGCTCATAGATTTGTACATAATTACCCAAGGTTGAAACTAACATTTCATTCAATATATGCATGCCTAAGATTTAGCACCATTTTGCTGGACTGACTTGCAAAAGAACTGAATGATATTCTGATTCATCTAAACGCTGTCTGTCTGCTCTTCTGTAGTAATAACTTTGGAATTACCTTTGTCTAGTTAATAGCAGTGTGTCTGTACAGAGGCCTTCTTTACCTCGGAGCCAATGTTTGCATATGCCAAGGCCAATATTAAACTGGTGGTGTCTCTTTTCTCTTTGCCCTCCCATTTCTAGTTAAGGAATATTTTGTTTTATGAGCATTTATGTGGTCCCAAGATTGCTCCCTGTTGTATTAGACTACACCAAAACTCATGCTTTCATGGTATACTGGGGATTCCCATTCTTTTGGCTGTGAGGGACAAGGAAAATGATGTGCCAGGAAGCAAATAGGGATGTA